CGGTCATCACAATTTGCTTCCAAAAATCAGGTTCAGCATCGATCTTGCGAGCGACTGTTTAAGCGTAATCCAAGCGACGTGGACGGTCAGTCGGCAATATTTTTTGTGTTAACTGCACCTTATAAGGAAACAAGTGCAAATGATCCTTCAAAATGCGCCGCAACGTGGTTCCACTGATGCCAAAATGCTGAGCGCGGTGACGATACGACACTTTTGGTTTCTGGGCAACGATATTGTCAGTTGTTTGGGTGAAAAGCGATTCATGACTAAAATTGTAGTAAACAGAAACACGTTGGTAAATGTCAAAGTCATTCGATGTTTCAATACCGACATAAAAGATGGCGCAGCCGGTATTTATTTGTTTAGGATTTATTTAAGCAGCCTACTTTATCCGTATGGTGGTTTTCGAAGAGAAGAAGTGTTAATAACGCGATTGTTCACGTTTAGGAAAACTGAACGATTTGAAGATGAACGACGACCAGCTGGGCTGGGCGGGGTCTGCGATGACGTTGGGAGCGATGGTGATGTGCTTCCCGATAGGATGGATCGCCGATATTCTCGGACGCAAGATCACCGTGCTGCTGACCGTCTTTCCGTTCACGATCGGATGGCTGCTGATCATATCCGCCCAGCACGAAGCGATGGTGTACGTAGGTCGAGTGTTAACCGGCATCGGCGGCGGATCGTTTTGCGTGTGCGCCCCGCTTTACACCTCCGAAATATCAGAGACGGAGTTGCGAGGCACGTTGGGCACCTTCTTTCAACTGTTCATCACGATCGGCATCCTTTTTACGAACGTTTTCGGATACGTTCTTCCGATGATGGCGTTCAATATCAGTTGCGCGGCGGTGCCGATCGCGTTCGCGGCGCTCTTCTTCTTCCAGCCGGAAACGCCCGTTTGGTATCTCAGAAAGGACAAGGCCGAGATGGCCGAAAAGTCGATGCGCAAGCTAAGGGGCGAACGGTACGATTTCACCGGAGAACTGAAGCTGTTGCAGGCGGACATCGAGAACGAAAAGAAAATGACCAAGTTCTCGGAGGCGATCAAAACGAAAGCGGCCAAAAAGGCGACGATCATCTGCTTCATGCTGATGTTTTATCAACAATTGAGCGGAATCAACGCGGTGATTTTCTATACGAGGGAAATATTCGAAGCTGCCGGCGCGAGCCTGGCCGCCCATTGGTGCACGATGATCATCGGCGTAGTACAAGTCGTGGCGACCGTGTTCGCCGCCTGGTCGATGGACAAACTCGGCCGAAAGATATTATTGTGCATCTCGTGCGGAGTGATGGGGTTTTCGTGCTTCCTGCTCGGGCTGTTCTTTTCTTTGAAAAATCACGAAGTATTGGACGAGGGCGGCATCAAGAACATCGGCTTCCTGCCCATCCTCGCGATGATCTTGTTCATAATCGGCTTCTCCGTCGGTCTGGGACCGATTCCGTGGTTGGCCTCGTCGGAGATCTTCCCGCCGGAAGTGAAGGCGAAGTGCAGTTCGGCAGCGGCCACCTTCAATTGGTTCCTGGCCTTCTGCGTCAGCCGCTTCTACTTGAACGTCGCTAACGCGATCGGAAACGACATCACTTTTTATATTTTTGCCGTCATTTGCGTCACCGGTATCGCTTTCGTCCTCTTTGTCATGCCGGAGACCAAAGGCAAGTCGTTCGCGCAGATAGTCGCAGAATTGGAAGGCGCCGCCGCCGCCGAATAATAAATATACTAATTAAATAAAATTCATCTTGTAACGAGCATTTTTATTGCGAATGGTGATGATCCTCGCTATTTTATACAGAAATTGTTTTGTGCACCGAATTCTGGTTTTTGTGGCATTTTATGATGTCAACTGTATTGCTTTGGATGTACCAATGGTATACAGGGCGTCCGAATATTCCGTGGACAGAAAAGTAACGCGTATTTTTAGACTGAAAATAAGTCGATTTACCTCAATGCAAAAGGGCTTCGTTTGACTGTTAGAGGGCTCCTTTTTAAAACACGTTTTTTTTAAACCGATAGCCCGATTTGAATGTAGGGTGAAAACTACTCTACTCATACATAAATTATATCAGAAGTTTTTGGCAACTTTTCCGAGTTTTTTTTTTGTTTAGCACATCTTTCTATTTACTTCACGTTTTGTATTCTATAAAAGCAGGCAATCTTGGATAGTTTTCGAGAAAAAAAAGTTGCATCAAGGGGTTCCCAAGCGTCTTATGAATTCTTTAAGGGCGGAAATAAACAAGCATGATACAATTTATTAGTTTTAATACTGATCGATGGCTCTTCTCTAACAGACAGTCTCGGGACCCTTTCGCACCGGCGGGCCGTCGGCGATCTAGCTCTTTTCTACCGCTACACCAACGGGCTTTGCTCCTCAAAGCGCTCTACCATGATGCCGCCGCGCGATGAGCCTACCAGGCAGACCCGCCTGACTTTGGCGTCCCATCCTAACCGCGTCGAACTTCGTACATCCAGAACTAGCCGATACGACCGCTCCTTTGTACCGAGGGTGTCGAGATTGTGGAGCAATCTACAAGAGGAAGCTTTTCCCAGTTCTACTAACCTTAGGCACTTCAAAAATCTTATTAACAAAATTTCTTTGGGATCATCCGAGCAGCCGCGGTGTTCTGGCATTTAGGCTTCTGCCTACGCGGCTGCTTCGAATATATAAAAAAAAGGTAATAGTGCGAATCTTTCATTTCAGTTGTTCAATATGACCACCATTTTCTTGCCAGCACATAACAATACGGGGCAAAAAATTTTAACACTTGGTACATTAAAAACATTTTTCAGAAACCAGCTCCGAAAGACTAAGAAATGGCGTGTTTTTCATTTAGACAAAAAAGAAGAGGATATTTAAATAAAAAAAAATCAAAATCGTCATCCATGTATGATAACATGAACTGCAACAGTTAATTTTATATACAATTTAAAAAACCAATCAGTTTCTCGCAAATTATACAGGGTGTTATTTAAGTACGTGACCTAAATTGAGGTGTTCTTTGAGCAATTTTAAGATGAAACCTAGGTCCATAAATGCTTCATTTTCAAGATGAAACATTTTTTAAAAAATAGGCTTTTCCTAAATATTTGGATAAACTTTCAGTCGATTTTGTTCAACTGTATCAGTGGTATAAATGACAGTAACTGGCTAATTTAGCTACAAACAAGATCGAAATTATTGAGTCCCGAAAACATCCGAACCAATATCTTTGACAAAATATTTGTGCGCGACTCACATCTCTCAATTCTTCTTTTTTTTCCAGCTGGAACGGTACTGTTACGTCTTGTAGAACTTTGGATTTGACTGTTTTTTCACTTGAAACTTATAGAGTCTGATAAATTATTTTACATCCTAAAAAGTGTGGATGAAGCACGCTTTTCATGAAATTTTTTTCCCAAAACACTATATTTTTTAGCAGTTGTTTCCCACATTATTTCCACCGCCATCTACCAAATGACGCTGACGTCTAGTGGATATGTCATATATGAGAGGTCGCTTGACTGCGGCGTTGCCGGATTGGGCTCCGTATTTAGGGAAACATATGAAAAGTGGAAAATTTATAGTCATTTATATTAATGAAACACAAAAACAAAAAACTGAAACAAACAACAGTAGTAAAATTAAAAGTGATTCTTACTAAGAATGAAACAAAAAATAAACAGCAGTAAAATAAAAAGCAATTCTATGTGATTATAAGGGACAAAAAATTAAAACAGTAGTGAAACAAAAAACAATTCCATCTAATTATAAAAAACAAAAAATAACAAACGGTAAATTAAAAAACCATTTGGATGGAATGAAATTGTTCTTCGTGTTACTACTGTTTTTACTTTTTGTTTTGTGTTGTCACTTAAAATTGCTTTTTATTCAACATGGAATTGTTTTTTTGTGTTTTACTACTTTTTATTTTACTGCTTTTTGTTATTTTTTGTTTTTGTTTCACTACTGTTTTTATTTTTTGTTTTTTATAATTATTCATAATTTATCATTTTTTAGCTTACTACTGTTATTTTCGATTTATACTTATTAGGAATCGCCTTTTATTTTACTACTGTTGTTTGTTTCATTTTTTCGTTTTTGTGATTCATTAATTAATATAGATATGTATATAAATTTTCAACTTTTCATATTTTTCCCTAAATACGGAGCCCAATCCGGCAACACCGCAGGCAAGCGCCTTTCATATATGACATATCCACAGACGTCAGCGTCATTCGGTAGATGGCGGTGGAAATAATGGGGGAAATAACTGCTAAAAATACAGTGTTTTGGGAAAAAACATTCATCCACACTTTTTATGATGTAAAATAATTTATCAGACTAGCCGCTATAAGTTTCAAGTGAAAAAACAGTGAAATCCTAAGTTCTACAAGACGCAACAGTACCCCTGTATTTTTAGCCATCAATAATTGAATTACACCCTGTACAAACATCATAAAATTGCCCAATCCGGCAAGACCGCAAGCAAGCGCATCTCGTATATGACATATGCACAGACGTCTACGTCATATGGCAGATAGATGGCGGTCGAAATAATGATGGAAAGAACAGCTAAAAATACAATGTTTCGGGAAAAAAATTCAGATTATCCTCTACAACTTTTAAGAGAAAAAACAGTGAAATCGGAAGCACCAGAAATACAACTATTTTGTCCTTCTGAGTTTCTTTCATATCTCGCTTCGTTTACGAGATAAAAAATAAAAATCAGAATGAAAAAAGTTCTATTGAGGCTGCCCTCAATACCACTGCTAAATTTAAACAAAATCGACCGAAAGTTTATTAGGATATTTAAGAAAAACCGATTTTCTAAAAAAGTATGACACCTTGTATCTTGAATATGAAGTATTTCTGGACCTATGTTTATATAAAATTTTCATCTTAAATTACTCAAAGAATATACTCCTGAAGTTTGGCCACGTCCTTAAATAAAGCTCTGTATTCTGGCGTTTTTCTGAGTTCTTTTGGGTGTGGATTAAAACACTGGATTCCACAAAAAGAAATGCACTAATTTATTTAACTTGATAGAACATTTGTGTACACTACTATTTATGCCTGACAATTCTTATGTCGCCATTGACTGAAATATACTCCACTCCGCTCTGTTAGCGACATCTAGAATATCGGAGGTCACTTCGCGTCGATCTAGAAGGTGCTCGACTGTCACAGACGCCGCCAAGCGGCTTGTGCGGTCGGGGTTCGCGAGATCGGCCATTAAGCTCTGGCGAGTAGGAGAGTCGCCCAACAGATGGCGCCAATAGTACTATTTGTCACAGTATAATATATTTATATTTATTGTATCTTCAATTTGCTATGTCCTAAATGATTATTCAAAAAGATGATTTCCATTGAGATTTTTTTTGAGTACTATGGGTTTCTCTATAATTAATTGCGATAAACATACAAAGAACGTATTAGTGTTTATTGATATAAAAGGTGATAGAATAGATAGCAACAGGTGTTGTCAGTCTTGTATGTTGCTACTTCATGGATGGCTTGCTTCTAATGTACGCGCTCACTTCGAGCTCTTCTAGAATGTCGTCGAAACTTTTCTGATTCGTCTCAGGCACCACAAACAGCACGAACAGAATTCCGCTCAACGAGATCATGCTGAAGATGTAGAATGGCGTATCGTAACCGATCAGGTTTTGCACGTCTATGTAGAACCTACACAATTTATATTACTATCAAGTCATTACGAGATATTATTGCGGTAGGAAAATTTTGTTTTCGAAGGGGACACAAGTTTGCCAAAAAATCACGTTACGTCGAAAGTAGTACAAACTAATCTGAAGTACCTATTAAAGTCTACTTTAAGCTTTAAATTAATAAATCTTCAAAACTACTGAACTGAAGCTCATGTATTTTACATCATTATAAAGGGAATTGAGAGACCTTTAAAATAAGGTATCATTCGATCCCCCTTTCCATTTAAGATTTTGGGGTTGGTGTCATCCCCGCCCAGGGGGCTGCACGTGTTAACGTGACTTTTTGCCAAACTTGTGTCCCCGCGCCACCGTGTATGTATACTAAGTGACATATAAATCCGAACATCCAGTTTAAATGGTTTCATTTTAATAAAATTTTGTATAAGTACTTAATGAAGCATAATAAGTGAATGATAAAAATTTCAAAATGATTGCACTGCTTTAAAGCACTTTAACCTTTAATAATGTGTGGATGCACCCTGATGTGCTACGCATTCTCCACAGCGCCTAGGCATGCTTCTGATCAGGTGGTCAGTGTCCTCCTGTGGTATCTCATTCCAGGCAACCACCAAATCCTCTCGAAGTGCTTCTACAGTCTGAGGAGGACGTTGCAAATTGAGCAATCTCCTACCCATCATATCCCACACGTGCTCAATTGGGGATAAGTCGGGAGATCTTGGTGGCCATGGTAACAATGTGATATCATTATGTTGAAAGAAGTCTATTGTGACTCTTGCAACATGTGGTCGGACATTATATTGTTGGAAAGTTGGATCTGCCAGGGTGTCAAGATAGGGTAAAAGATGGGGTTCTAGAACCTCGTGGATATAACGCTGCGCGTTAATGTTACCTCTGATGAAGATTAAGGTGACCTGGAACCATAAGCTATAGCACTCCAAACCATAACTCCAACAGTATGATGAACATGTCTTTCAACAAAAAACTGTGGATTCCTCCTTTCACCACGTCGCCTTCTAACGCTGGCACGACCATCATGCATGCGTAAACAAAATCGAGACTCGTCACTAAAGACAATACTGTTCCATTCCTGATCCCAGAGTGACCGTTGTCTGCACCACTCAAGGCGATTACGTCGGTGTTCTCGAGTTAAAGGGAGGACCCAGTGTGGCCGGTATGAAAACAAGCCAAAACTTCTCATTCGTCGGTAAACACTTCGCATGCCAATAGGTCTTCCGTGTTCTGCAAACCATTCATTTGCAATGGACCTGGTAGTGGAGAAATGGTCCCATAAGGCCAATAATCTTAGGCGGCGATCTTCACGGTCTGTTGTTCTACGGCGGCGTCCAGTGCCCCTTGCTCTTTGCGTACGGCCTTCTCGAAGCCATGCCTGACAACACCTAACCACAGTGCCTACACTTCTTTGCACTCTAACTGCAATTGCCCGAAAAGAAAGTCCAGCTTCCCGAAGTCCCACAATACGGCCCCTATCAAACTCATTAAGTTGACGAAGTCGTACAGGTCTCCGTACTCTAGGCATCGTAACCGATCGTAAAGGATGTCAAGGACGAAAATCCGCCAACGTTGATTCTTTACTGCGGCTGAAATATTCATTTTTAGAGCGTTAGTGAATTAAAAAAAAGCAGTATAAAAACAGGAATGTCCAACTGATAAGGCTGAAAATTTTATTAAAATAAAACCTTTTAAACTGGGTGTTCGGATTTATATGTCACTTAGTATATATAACCAGGAAACAATGATAGACATCTTCATGTTAGAAATTAATATTAATACAAGTGTAGTTACTATCCATCTGGCAACATCGCGAATTATCGTTCATTTCGGGCATCGCCCATGTATATACAGGGTGTCCGTAAAGTTGGGGTTTTCCTTTTCAGGTACAACTATGTTAGAAATGACAAAACCAATGTGTGGTATCTCGATTCTCTTAAGGCATTGCTGTATACGCTACTAAGAAAATCCGCTTATTTTCTCAATATCTACACGTCGTGTAAAGGAAAACCCCAACTTTACGGACACCCTGTATTTTTATTTTCTTCGCCAAAAGTGGCGAGGAAAAGTACCTGACCTGCTGATCATCCAAAGTAGGAACCAGCTGAAGACGCCGATGATGGAGCATCCGGTTGCCTTGATGTGAGGCGGAAACAATTCGGTGGGCAGCAACCATGGGATCGGGCCCATGCCCATTGAATAGCCGACTACGAATGTAATACAGGAAATAATCGGGAAAAAGGCGATGCGGCTGACATACTCGTCGTCGTGGTCTTGACGCATCAACGAGAAAAACACACCTAGACTGGCAGAGGACAGAGCCATCATCGATGACGAGAAAATCAGCAACGCCTTACGACCGAATCTGCAAATTATTATTGTAATTTAATTTATCTTGTGTCTGTTAAAATCAGTGGCGCTCCCAGGATTTCAGTGTGGGAGGGGTAAAATCGAAAGTAAATTCTCAGTGTGACGTACTGAAGTGTCATAATGATTTAAGATTAAAACCATCGACATATGCAGACATGAATTTGTTACAGTAATTTCTGTACATACAATTTTTTTAATTTTGAATCATACGAAATCAAAGTGTAAATAAAGTAAACCAAGCTCGAACGATCTTCATATAAGACAAAACAACAAAAAATACATCTTCTTGAAAAAAATAATAACAAATATGTTACGACTTCTAGAAAGTATAAAACTGAATGTAAATGAAAATAAAATTCTCGACCATGAAGAAAAACGTAATTGAAATTATATTAAATTTCCATTCCATTCATTTTTTTAGACACGATTCTTTAAAAGTTAAAAACAAACAAAATTAATTTTCTGTCTTATGCATGGAAAATAAAATCAATAGAACATAGAAAATAGCGTTAATACCAACCGGAGCAACAAAACTCCGCTTGTTCACTTCTCAGTAAAATTTTGTTGCGGACTCTGGACTGTTACAGAATTTAGACACTAAACTAGACCGTAAAAGACTAGACTATACCTGTTCCAACACCGTTGCTGTTGGAGGGAGAGTAGTCGCTAGTCGCATGCGCACTGAGCGGGTTGGCAGTGTTGCCGCTATCCTTTCTTAAAGTTACAGACGTTTACTTGATACCAGGGCTTAACAAAACCGATTCGGCGCACCCGTGCAAAGCCAGGTGCAACAAACAGCGCTGTGCATCGTGTCGGCTCGGGTGCGGTCGGAGTTACTCAGTTGGACCGGGTAGAGTCCCGCCAGTGTTGCCAGATCTACCGATTTGTTTGGTAGATCTACCGATTTTGGTGCTCGTCTACCGAACTACCGATTTTAAAGCAAAATCTAGCGAAAAGTGGACTTTTCCTTCAATTGAATAATTTTTGTTCCCTATATAAGAGAAATAAAGGGTTGTCCAATAGGGACGCAGGAAAGTAAACGTCAATTTGACATAGACGCCATCTTTGTTTTCTGTCACCGACATGTCATTTTGTTAGTTGAATGTTTAGCATTGATCGCTATGGAGTCGTATTCGATTGAAGACTGCATTAAAGTTATTCAAGAGCACTACAAAAATGGTGCAAAAATAAAAAACATGTTTCGCGCGCTTCGTGAACATTTCGGTCGCAACAACCGCCCAAACGAAACAACCATCGGTCGTCTGGTGCGTAAATTTGAGGCAACAGCTTCTGTGGCAAATCTGCCAGGCTCTGGCCGGCCAAGGAGCGTTCGCACACCGGAAAATATTGCTGTGGTGAAGGAGAGTGTGAGAGACGATCCGAAACAATCAACAACGCGTCGATCCCAAGAATTGGGCATTTAAAGAACCAGTTTGCTCCGCATTCTCCACAAGGATTTGCATGTACACGTCTACAAGATCCAATTGACGCAAGAGCTGCGTCGGGCCGACCATTTTTAGCGCCGAACGTTCTCAGATTGGCTCCTTGAACACCGCCAAATTGATGCCAATTTTTCATCAAAAATCATGTTCGACGAAGCGCATTTCACTTTGAATGGGACGGTAAACAAGCAAAACTGCCGCATCTGGGCGAACAAAAATCCCCGTGAGTATCAAGAGCAGCCGATGCATCCTCAAAAAGTGACTGTGTGGTGTGGATTGTGGCCAAAAGGCATCATCGGACCTTACTTTTTCGAAAATGCGGCCGGAGACGCCGTTACCGTCAATTCTGAGCGATATCACGTGATGATAGAGGACTATTTTTTGCCGCAACTTCAAGGAATGGATATGGACGATGTTTATTTCCAACAAGACGGTGCAACATGCCACACAACCAACGTCAATATCCATAGATTGCAGTCCTTCTTCGGTGATGGCCACCAATATCGTGCGATTTGACTCCCTTGGACTTCTTTTTATGGGGATATTTGAAAAGCAAAGTCTACGTCAACAAACCAGCCACCCTCTAAGAACTCAAAAACAACATCATTGCCGAGATAAATGCCATAGAACCGACCATGTTGCAAAAAGTCATTGAAAATTTCGACCGTCGCGTGGACGTCTGTAAATCCAGTCGTGGTGAACAGTTGAGCCATATTATTTTTCATACATAAATGGTATAAATGAACCTTCAAAATAAAGTACCCAACTTGATTTGAATAATATCAATCTTTCTTGTTTTAATATGCGTTTACTTTCCTGCTTCCGTTTTGGACAACCCCATATTTTTGATGCAAGAATGACAAGAGTACTATTATTATTCGTACTAGACCAGATATATTTTTATTCTCTTTGCCTGACATTAGTGTGTCCCTAGCTAAAGTGACATATAAACTGTTTATTTTTGTTTTGTCTTTCTGATTTGCGCCGAGCACCGTGCAATGCACCCGCACCAGCACCCAGTTAAGCCCTGCTTTATACCATCTTTTCAAAGTCTGCTCGAGTCGTCGGGGGGGGGGGGGGGGTAATTACCCCCCCGTGGGAGCGCCATTGGTCAAAATAGCGTAATGATATATCGCAACACTTCGTATTGCCTCGATCATTTATGAAATTACCTGTCGACGGTCCACATAACAAAAGTAGCACCCAGCACTTGGAAAATTGACTGCAAGATGACGGTGAAGTGTTCGGGTATATACAGTCCAGCTCCGGCCAATGTGAACAAGCGATTCGAATAGAAAAGCACGCCGCTTACGCCGCTCCATTGCTGGAAAAAGGTCAGCATCAGGCACACCCAGGTTGCCTTCTTCACCTTAAATAACGAACACTTTTTTGCAAATTATACGGTACCGAAGTGATACGATACACTTTTATATGCTCTATTTCATTGGTAAAATTAAATACGAACGTATACTCGTATGATAGGTAAAGGGAGAATAGTGGGATGGTACTCACCGCTTTCCTATTTTTGAAAGCCGTGATGAATTTTTCCTCGACGAGATGCGGCGCCATCCTGGCTTGCAACCGTTCCAGTTCGCCAGTGCAATCGTGGTCTTTGTGACGCAGTCGCGCCAAATTGCTGGCCGCTTTGTCAGGACGCTGCCGGCGCATGTTGTACGCCTAAAACAATATCTTTCAGTCATGCAAATCTTCGATTTACAAATTACAAAAATAAAATCGTTATTACCTATTAGGCATAGTACCTTTACTTCTTATCCGTTGAAGGAAAAATGGCGACTAGTCCATCGAGTATGCACTTGCTTGGCAAAATATAGCTAAATCTATGAGTGAAATATGCAATTGTGTGGGTTGGAATCGTATAGATATACCAACGTCAAAAAATTGAAATGTACTCTCCCACATCCTCTGCAACCACTAACCCCCAATTTTTTACCTCTTCAAAATTGTTTTTTTTTCATTAACACTCGCAACTTTAATATTTATTTGCCCCTCGTAGCTTTATACGCGTTTTACAGTATATTCAGATAAGAGATAGACCGGACATAAACAAGACCACGTGATCATCGAACGCTGTAACATTCGGCAGGGACATATTAAGAGTCACGCAGTACATATTTTAGATAGTAGATGCTGCTTTGCGTAACTTTGTAGTAAATTAGCACAATTCGATGTGTATACGATTGGTGATGGATATAGGATCATGTGGGGGTGGGGTAAGAAATATATAATGATGTAAATATACATAAGGGTTTCAAAATTTTCGCTTCGATTTCCAGCTTCGGATGCCGCCTGATGTTTGGTGAAATACAGTCGAATATAATCTCAAAATGGCGTTTAAATTAGCCTAAATTAAAAATAATCGTATATCTCTTAAAATTGCTTTTAGAATATTGATTAGTATATTTTTTGATTTCTAGGTAAATATGTAACCAAATTAAAACGTTCAAAACGTAAAAAAATGTGCATGGTTGAACATTGTCAGAAAGTAGATTCTTGAATAGGTTTTGCCAAAATGGGTTCAAAAATGTCAATAATTAATTAAAAAATACAGTAGCTTTATAATTACTTATAACTTACCGAATTTAATGAACGACATCTTTTATTGGAAAGATGAGCTTGATGAGCTTTCATCATCGCTACTGCCTGAAGCACCAACGTCAATAATGAATGGCTCGACTTGTTCCTCTAAAATATTGTCCAGTTCCCACATTCTCTTTTCAACTTTGTCTTTCACGTGCTTAATACAGTTTTCCCATTTTTGCGCTGTTATTAATTCTAGTGCTTCTTTGAAAAGTCCTTTGAGGTCACAAAATTTAAAAGTTGTATTGTGCTTAGCTATATAATTTTTAACCTCTGCCCATATGAGCTCAATGGGATTGAGCTCGCAATGGTATGGAGGTAAACGGAGCACAGTTTTATTTTGACTTGCTGCCATTTCGTCAATGGCGTATTTTTGATATTCCGCCTTGTGATACTTGACAATTCTTAATAATTGTACTTTCAGCATTGCTTCTTCAAAGTTGATATTTTTCGAGCGGAGCCAATTTTGAACATCAACTTTCCTTGAAGCCGTTGTTGGGACCTTCTCCATTCTTCGAGAATGATAAGGCGCATTATCCAAAACAATTACTGCGTTTTCCTCTAAGTTCGGTAAAATGTTTGAAAACCACTGTTCAAACGATTCGCCATTCATTTCCTCGTGGTAATCTCCAGTTTTCTTAGACTCAAAGCACCACAGATCGTCAACAACAAATCCATCCTCATAATGAACGGTACACAATATAAAACTTAGTAACTTTTTTTAAGTTTATAATATTCGACATATTAAAAGATTATATTAAAAAATTATTGAAATATCGAAAACACATAAAAACATGGCTTAAAAAAGTTCTAACAAATGAAAATGACAATAAAACATCCACGCATTTTATCGAAAGTTATAAAAGTTTTGTTACTTGTAATATGTTTTATCTGCTCCCTGGAATTAATGTTTAGAACCTTGTTCGCAAGGTTTGAAAAACATCCGATTGTTGTCTATTACTCGTATTTACCTGCTGGATTTTTTAATCCGGTGGACAGTCCATCTAGAAAGTCCCTCCTGGATGAAGTTACAGAATCATCAAGCCATACTTTACTTGTAGTGTGTCCTGCGTTTACCCACGTTTCATCAAGGTAATAAATCTTCCTGTTATGATTTCTATATTTCCCAATTTTTGTTAAATAATCCCTCCTCCATAGCACAATTTCTTCTCTATCCAGTAGTAAACTATTACGACCCCGTTTTTTCCATTTGAAATTTAAATGCTTCAGTAACGCATGGAAAGTTAATCGTTTGAAATTTGGCAACGTTGTATCTCCATTTACCTCCTGCAGTACTTTATCTATAGTAGGTATTTCATTCCTAAAGAAGAATTCATGCACTTTCCTCCTAATCGCATGCTTATCAGCTTCATCCAATGATTTAACAATACTTTTTCGATGTTTACTGGTCATTGGCTCAGAAAAGGTGTGATTTTTTTTGTATTGTCTTAACACATTAAACACTGATGCGCGACACACCCCAACTTTGTGAGAAACCTTCACAACAATTTCTTTGATGGTTGATGCCTCGTTCTCCTCGCGCTCGATCTTATATATATTCAAAATGACCTCTTTCATTTCTGCACTCAGGTGTCTTTTTTTAGAGCGTTTCCTAGGTGGACTACAGGAGTTTACAACTTCATCGGCAGTATCTGTACTACTGGGCATTTTGCGCAAGCAGTTGATAACAATAACAATCAATAACAAGGTATAACAATAACAACGACAAACTCAACAACTTAATAACAAACGAAAACGTCCAAAGAAATATCAAATTGCAATGATGCACACGACATACGTAACACGTCTGAACCTGAATGTGACTCTGCCTTGATACGTCTGCTCTGCCGCTCGGCATAGACATTTAATTGCGAATTGACCAATGAGGGGTCCTGTTTTACGTCGAGACGGCGGCGTTAGCGTGAAAATCACCCGAACCTTTTGTTTACATCCGGTCTATCTCTTATCTGAATATACTGTAGATGTGCTGAATTTGAACGCGTCACCGCTAATTGTTAAGGAAGATACTAAGAGGTGTGTGTGTGTGTGTGTATGTGTGTGTCTACCTAGTTTGCTGTGAAGGAAAATAAGTGAGGCACTAACCGGCGATTCGGGCTGCAGGAGGAACAGGAAGGCGAATACTAAAGGCACGATGGCGCATGCGTAGTTGAACAGGATGATGGGAAATGCCCAGCCGAAGAAGACGGCGTACAGCATACCCAGAGTAAGGAACAGCTGGAAGAAGGCGCCCAAACGGCCACGAATGTCCCTCTCGGCAATCTCGCTCGTGTACAGGGGCGCAGACACGCAAAAAGAAGCGCCGGCGAACCCGCAGAAGAACCTGGAACATCACAACATCTAATACGTCGAGGAAATGGCTAATTTTTCATCATAATTGTGACGGTGTTATTGCTGCAAATTGTCGTCATGATAGGGGCTGAAGAATTTCTACGATACAGGGGTTGTTGAAAGAAAAAAAAGGGAGATGCGAAATCAGTGTCGACTCACCTGCCGGCGTACAGCATTACCGGGAATTTGGCGAATATGATGCACGCCCAACCAATGTAGAATGGAATTGAGGCCAGCAACACAGTCGGTTTTCTGCCGATCGTATCCAAAAGTATACCAGTTGGAATGCACACCTAATAACAATAAATAAAACGCATATCAACGATCATATCTATATTTATCGTAATCTAAATCATATTAATATTTCATAGCTACTTCCGAAGTCTAGGTCATCAAAGAAGTATTGTAGTCGCGACAAAATACGAAATCGATATACAGGGTGGCGCATCGAAAACGAAACAGACGCATTTACTGGCAGCTCAGTATTTTTTTGGAAAAAACGCTCAGACCCGTCGATTTTGTTTTCGAGGGGGACACAAGTTTGGCAAAAAGTCACGTTAACACGTGCAGCCCCCTGGGCGGGGGTGACACCAACCCCAAAATCTTAAATGGAAAGGGGGGTCGAGTGATACCTTATTTTAAAGGTCTTTCGATTCCCTTTATAATCATGTAAAATACATGAGCTTCAGTTCACTAGTTTTGAAGATTTATTGATTTAAAGCTTAAAGTAGACTTTAATAGGTACATCAGTTTAGTTTGTACTACTTCCAGAAGAACTTTGACTAAAAGTAAATGCTTTTCTTCACTACGCCCATGCTTTGTTTATCATTTTATTGTCGAAAATAGCTATTGGAGCGTTTTTTTTGTGGCAAAAAAGTTATTTCTTTAAGAAAGATAAGGAAATATCTCGTACTTGTTTTAAATAGGAATTTAGTACATAGTTTGCGATTGATTTGACAAAACTTTGTTGCTAAAATAACTTGTGACGCTTTATTGCATAAATTAACCATGGTATATTCCACAGCAGAAAGAGTTGAAATTATCGAAATATTTTTCGGAAATAACCAGTGCGTTAATAGAACAGGAGAAATATTTAATGAGCGACATGAGAACAGTAACGTGCATCGAAAATATGTTCTAGAACTTGTGGCTAAATTTCGAGAAACTGGGTCAGTCGCCAATAAAAAACGCAACATTGAAAATCCCATAAGGAACGAAGCAATAGAAGTGGGGGTTTTAAGGCAAGTTAATGTAGATCCTACGTTAAGTACCCGCAAATTGGAGACTGTGTGTGGTGTTAGTCGAAGTACTGTCCAGCGGATTCTAAAGGCCCATAGTTTTCATCCGTATAAAATTCACCATGTACAAGAACTTAATGAAGACGATTACAATTTTGTGAAGATATGAGTGAACGAATTATAAACGATGAACATTTTCTATTCAACACTTGCTTTTCCGGCGAATGCTCCTTTTTCTTAAATGGCGTGTTTTTTCATATTTTTAAACTACTATTTATGTTAAAACGCTTTTACAAGCTTCACCTGTATGTATGTATGTACGGGGGCGATTCAATAAGTATCCGTGTTAGAAATGAAGACACCTTTTATTCCCTAAAGTTCCTGCCATTTTTTCAACCCCCCAAAAATTGTCGAACTTTCCAAAATACGATGACTTCCTCGTCAGAGCTAAATGTTTTCCCCGCGAGCCGTTTCACCATGACAGGGGAAAAAGAAAAATTCACAGGGGGCCAGATCGCGGCAGCGGATGAATGTGCTTGTGCGTTGTCGTCGTGAAACAGCACCTTCTTTTTCGTTAAATGTGGCCGTGTCTCCTTGATTTTTTTCTCCAAGCGGTCCAATAACTCACTATAGTATTGTCCAGGTATCGTTCTTCCTTTTTCTAAAAAAAATACTCGAGGATGACGCGGTTCACATCCCAAACAATCGTCGCCATGACCTTTCCGAACGATGGAACTGTCTTCTCCTTCTTTGGGGCAGATTCACCTGAAGAAATCCATTGTTTTGATTGTTGCTTAGTTTCTGGTGTGTAATGATGAATCCAGGTTGCATCGACGGTGACAACTCGATACAAAGACTCCTTCAGATTTCGCTTAAATTCCTCAAAACAGCGCTTCAAAGTCAACAGCCGCATCCGCTTGTTGTCCACCGTGAGCACTCACAACTTTATTAACTTTCACTACCTACTAAATATTAGTGAAATATACTAAGTGACATATAAATCCGAACACCCAGTTTAAATGGTTTTATTTTAATAAAAGTTGGTGAATGTATTTATCTTACTGTAAATAACAAGTGAAAAAATGTTCAGCCTTATCAGTTGGACATTCCGGTTTTTATACTGCTTTTTTCTAATTCACTAACGCTCTAAAAATGAATATTTCAGCCGCAGTAAAGAATCAACGTTGGCGGATTTTGGTTCTTGACATCCTTTACGATCGGTTACGATGCCTAGAGTACGGAGACCTGTACGATTTCGTCAACTTAGTGAGTTTGATAGGGGCCGTATAGTGGGACTTCGGGAAGCTGGACTTTCTTTTCGGGCAATTGCAGTTAGAGTGCAAAGAAGTGTAGACACTGTGATTAGGTGTTGTCAGGCATGGCTTCGAGAATGCCGTACGCAAAGAGCAAGGGGCACTGGACGCCGCCGTAGAACAACAAACCGTGAAGATCGCCGCCTAAGATTATTGGCCTTAAGGGATCGATTCTCCACTACCAGGTCCATTGCAAATGAATGGTTTACAGAACACGAAAGACCTATTGGCATGCGAAGTGTTTACCGACGAATGAGAAGTTTTGGCTTGTTTTCATACCGGCCACACTGGGTCCTCCCTTTAACTCGAGAACACCGACGTAATCGCCTTGAGTGCTGCAGACAACGGTCACTCTGGGATCAGGAATGGAACAGTATTGTCTTTAGTGACGAGTCTCGATTTTGCTTAGGCATGCACGATGGTCGTGCCAGGGTTAGAAGGCGACATGGTGAAAGGAGGTATCCACAGTTTTTTGTTGAAAGACATGTTCATCACACTGTTGGAGTTATGGTTTGGGGTGCTATAGCTTATGGTTCCAGGTCACCTTTAATCTTCATCAGAGGTAACATGAACGCGCAGCGTTATATCCACGAAGTTCTAGAACCCCATCTTTTACCCTATCTTGACACCCTGGCAGATCCAACTTTCCAACAAGATAATGCCCGACCACATGTTGCAAGAGTCACAATAGACTTCTTTCAACATAATGATGTCAAATTGTTACCATGGCCACCAAGATCTCCCGACTTATCCCCAATTGAGCACGTGTGAGATATGATGGGTAGGAGATTGCTCAATTTGCAACGTCCTCCTCGGGCTCTAGAAGCACTTCGAGAGGAGTTGGTGGTTGCCTGGAAGTAGATACCACAGGAGGACATTGACCACCTGATCAGAAGCATGCCTAGGCGCGTTGGAGAATGCGTAGCACATCAGGGTGCATCCACACATTATTAAAGGTCAAAGGGCTTTAAAGCAGTGCAATCATTTTGAAATTTTTATCATTTACTTATTATGCTTCATTAAGTACTTATACAAAATTTTATTAAAATAAAACCATTTAAACTGGGTGTTCGGATTTATATGTCACTTAGTATATCTGAAGCGGTTCTGAAAATATATTTTTTTTCCTAAAACTTCGACACCCCGACCTTTTGTTAGGAAAGATTATTGGACCATAGTTTATAAAGCAATATTCGCATGTCATTAAGGAACACCCAGTATAATAAAACGTCTTGTATACCAGCATGGCCCCAATGGCCATGAAAGAGGCCGACCAGGAGACTTGGTCCTCGCTGAGTTTCATTCCGTGCAAATAACCGGATTGTAATTTGACCATGATGTTGTTCGTCCAGCCCATGATGGTGCCCGTTCCCAATGCGCCCAGGCACACGTTCACTGCTGCCACATACTCGGGATTCCTAGGGATTTTCTTCTGCTTCTACAATTATTATGTACTCGTGTATAATATTAGCATTAAAGTGATATAAATCATACCACTAAAACATGAACCGATTTGTTTCATGAAAACAATAAACTTTTACGTTATCAAAAGTATAATTTGTATATAGACAACCTTCAATAAATAAGCTTCACCTCCTTATCATCTGATTCTTGTACTATAGACGACTCCTTTTGCTCTTCTTCATTTTTCTCAAAACGTGTTTTAAGTTTCAAACTGATTTTCCGCAAATTTTTCATGTTTGATTGTGCGGAGAAAAGTATTTGCGAATATTGATTTATGTTTAACCTTCAAACTGACACTGTGATACAGCCGGACGACAAGAGACTGATTCTAAACTTTCACACATAAAACGCTAATTATTTTTAAACTTGTCAGTGTCATTTCGCAACCTTTTTTATCTTTACAACCCCAAAGTTGATCGAAATAGAAGAATATGATGCAAAATCTAGTCGCGCTCCATATTTCTTCAAATTTTTTTTTTGTTTTAGTCCACTTTCGTTTTTTAACCTTTAACGTGTATCACGTATCTTGAAAAGTGACATTATGCCGATTTTTTGATATGCTTTTTTTGACATTATGTAGATTTTTCTACAAGATGTTAACTTAGCACTTAGTTGTACGTGTTGCCTACACGTCATGAGGCTTGTTATCAATCTTTGGCTCTGATGTGATGTGAAATCTGATTCCGAGATGGCGTTACTGGAGGTCTAAGCTGTAAAAGTTGTATGTGTTCTTCTCTCAAATACACTTAATCGAGATTCAAAGCTAGAAATTAGTTGCGCATTCACTTTTTCTTATACATTCTGGAAATTACATATACAAATTTGCTGAATTTAAAAAACGAGAGAGATAAAAAATAATTATATTTACTGTACACTGTCGAATTACAAGCCATATACACGCTAACAGTTATTACACACAACGCGGATCAATAGTCGTTATATTCTATTTTTGTAAAAAATATACAAAATTAAGTTTGGGGCCGTTCAAGTATTACGTAAGCAGATTTATTACAATTATTTATCCCACCATCCCCCTTGTCAGCAAAAGTAAGCAAAGCTCTTACCACCTCCCCCCATGCTTACGTAAACATTTGTCAATTAATGTATTGTTTTTTTAATATTATAATTATAACGTCTTCCATCATCTGCTGCACTCCCAAATAAAGCTATTTTGTTTTCAATAGTGAATGTTGATTGCTTTCAAGATTAGGACGTGCCACTGAATCCCTCAGAGATACTCTACTATTTTTTTTATTTCTGGATTTTCATGACAAATATCTTCTAACTTTCTTTCCATACCATCCCTGTGTTTCTTTTGGGCAACTGCGTTTTGAACATTCCTGTTTAAAGACTGTTTTGCTGTTTTTATTTCCTCGCGCAACTTAATGATCTGTTTATCAACTTCAGCACGGCTTGGCATAGTATCACTGGCAGAATACAAAGCATTCAGATTTTTTTCGAGTAGAGCAATCTTATTTTTCATAGCTTCCTGAGAAGGTTCTGCTCTCTGTTTATCTGTATTTTCATTAATTTCGCATTGCTGTTGTGATTCATTACCGGGTTTTATTTTATCTTCTTCCTCTTTTTTAATATTTCAAGCTAACTGTATAATTTTTTTTCTGCAGGTTTACATTTTGCCTAAAAATAAAAACTTTCTATGGCTTCTTTTATTAAGCTACATAAATACAAAATATGGCAATATAGGTAAATACAAAACCCTATGGCTTTAAATCTAATATGTTTAAACGAGCAATTCGTTTAGGTCACAAAATACAGGGTGTTAGTTTTCTCTATATATGTATAAAACTAACATCCTGTACTTTGTGACCAATTGACGGAATCAATCATAAGACATAAATCTATAATATAATGAATATTACCTCTATACTTTGAGAGGCCATAATATTTTCTAATCAGTAAAGAGAAACTTGTTGGCGATTTCTAATATTTCTAGTACTCATAGGTACCTAAAATGATTTCGTCAGTCACCTTAGAAAAAAATTTAGTAGATTGGATTTATTCTTAGTCGCTGCTTGCAATTCTTCTTCGATTCTCTTAGATACAATAATATCTAGTTCCTAGTCAGATTTTGCTTGTAATTTGTAATTTCGCCATACTTCGTTAAGTAACTTCTGTACATTTTGTACTTTCGTACTTGTATGAGATTTTTTAAAACTTTCAAACAATTTTTGGTATAACTTTGATTTGTCTATGTGAAACGACATCTTATTTAAACATTAAACTTTGGCTAATGGAATCAATGGTAACACAAACGTTAAGTTGCTTTACTATGCTTCACTCAGAGGAGATGGTTCATACTATAATCAAGAAGACTAATATCCTGAAAAACAATGAAAAATATAAAAATACATCGGTTGGTTTTGATAAAACTCCAAAACAGATGGAGCTCTATCGCTACTTAAAGAGCAAACTGAATGAAAGGATCGCGCAAGGTGAAAGTAACCTCAGAATTAAATATTTCAATGGGGTTCCGAAGATTGTTACTTTAAACGCATAACTGAACCCAATAATAGACCAAATTGTCATGAGAGACTTAAGCTAAGGTGTTCTTACCAGAACGTTCGTGGTCTCAATTCTAAGACGGTGTCATTCTTCAATGCAGTCAGTGATTACGAATTTGATTTAATTTGCTTGACTGAGACGTGGCTGTCTGTGAATGTGAGTGATAGTGAATTATTTCCGGCTGAATACTGTGTGTTCAGGTGTGATCGTGACTTTATTCGATCTGGCCTAGTTTCCGGCGGAGGAGTCCTGATAGCCATAAAACGCGATTTCCATGCAATTAGAATTGACGCTAGTGCTTTGAGTCGAAACTTTCCGTCGATTGATACTGTATGTATTAGGCTTATTATTAACCATGAGCATTTTGTTATCTTTTCTATTTATATTCCGCCTTCAATTAATTTGGACATGTTTAGTCAGTACCTTGAAGCTTTAGAAGTATTTAACAATGCCTTCAGTAATTGTAAAATAATTGTTGCTGGTGACTTTAATGTCGCATCATTCAACAGTGACGTTAATGATCAGAAGTCTCAATTAATGAGCAACTTTATTTCGTTTTTAGATTTAACTAACTTTAATAATATTCCAAATATAAATGGTCGAATTCTGGATTTAATTTTAGGAAATATCGAAATAGAAGTCCTCAGAGATAATACACCTTCTGTTAAAGAGGACGTTCATCATCCTGCACTGATCATGGAATTCATTACATCCGGATCTCCAACGAAATTCCCATTTGCTAATTCTCCACGGTTTAACTTTCGCAAAGCTAACTTTCCTGAAATGTACACAGCCTTGCAAGATGTTAATTGGATGGAGGTGATCAGTGCAGTTAATGTTGATGTCGCTTGTACCGCCTTGTATTCAGTTATCAATAACATCTTTGAGGTCCATGTCCCTAAATGTAAAAATAAAATGTTTTCGTATCCCCCATGGTTCACACGTGAAATTATACTTAATATCAAGAAGAAGGACATAGCAAGAAGGAACTGGAAACGTGACGGTACTAAGTTTTCTTATGATCAGTTCAGTAATTTTAGGAAGCTCATTAAGAACCAGATCAGTGTTGCCTACTCCGCTTACGTCCAATCGGCTGAGGATGCCATTGTCAATGATCCTAGCAAATTCTGGTCATTTGCCCAGATCAAAAAACAGCAATCTAGAATCCCCCCCAGGATGACGCTTAACGGCAATGTCTGCGATACGCCTCAGGATATAGTGGACAGTTTTGCTACCTTCTTTTCAACAGTTTTTATCCCGTCTGGTGTACTAGGGTCATCTCCTCCAACAAATAATTCTACCGATATCATTTCTTTAAAAAATATAAGTGAAGAAAACGTAATTAGGGCTTCGAAAAGATTAAAGAACAAAATGACGTCTGGATGTGATGGTATTCCAAGTTTTTTCGTTAAAGATTGCATTCATATACTAGCGAAACCGCTGGCTTCCATATTCAACTTAATTCTAAAATCAGAGACATATCCAAATATCTGGAAGACCTCTAAAATATGTCCTATTCACAAAAGTGGAGATATCTCTGATATTTCCAACTATCGCCAAATAGCAATCCTGTGCAATTTCAGCAAGTTGTTTGAGATCATCGCTTATGAAACGGTTTACTGCTCGGTCAGGGGTGCAGTCTCTATTAATCAGCATGGGTTTATGAGAGGCAGATCTACGGTCACCAACTTGGCTCTAATTACTCAATACATTTCTGAAGTACTGGACGGTCAGGGACAAGTTGATGTCATCTACACAGATATTCAGAAGGCTTTTGATCAAGTTGATCATTATGCACTTCTGGATAAGCTTAAAACAGTGGGTATGTCTGATGCAATGCTGTCGCTCATGAATTCATATTTGAGGGATAGAAGGTTATTTGTCGAATATGGTGGTCATAGGTCGAGTTACTATCGGGCCACGTCTGGGGTACCTCAAGGTTCAAATCTAGGTCCATTATTGTTTTTAATATTTATTAATGACTTGTCTTTTGAACTGAAGTGTTTCCATTTGTTTTTCGCTGATGACCTCAAAATCTGCACGTCAGTCAAGACAGTCGAGGATTGCGTCATGTTGCAAGATGACTTAGCTCTAATTTCGTCATGGTGTTTACGAAACTGTCTCAGTCTGAATGTTTCGAAATGTAAAGTTATGACTTATACAAGAAAAGTGAACTATTTAATTTATGATAATTATAACATCAATGGTCAGGTTATAGACAGATGCACCTCTTATAGAGACCTTGGAGTCATATTTGACACCAAGCTAACGTTTACTGAGCACATACTCAATATCTCGTCGGCTGCCACTCGACTACTTGGTTTCTGTATCAGAAACTGGAAGGGTTTCTCCAATGTTGATACATTAATAACTTTATTTTTTACTCTTGTCAGGAGCAAGTTGGAGTATGCAACTCTGATCTGGTCTCCTATATACCAAAATTCTGTCGTGATGCTTGAGGCCATTCAACGTAAAGCTGTAAAGTATTTTCACCTTAAATGCACAGGTTCTTATCCAGAAAGAGGTTGTGACCATAGTGCCCTATTAGAGTCTTTCAATTTGGATTCACTGTCAACAAGACGAAACATATTTGCTTTGTCGTTTTTGTATGGCCTCATTCACAACAAAATTGACTGTCAAAATTTACTTGAAAAAATATGTTTCCGCGTTCCAAGGCTAGGGAGTCGACAACAAATGGCATTCTATTGTCAAGCTGGCCGTACAAATGTTATGACAAAATCGCCAATTAATTTCATGTGCTGCGTCATGAACAGTGTTACTGAATCGTGTGATATTTACAGTGACAGTTGTGCAACGATTATTAACTGTTATAGATCATCCAATCTTATTTAGAATGTGTGATACTATAGATTTAAGTCCAAGAACCATGTCTCTTTAATTGCTATTTTTTCAGCGTTTCCTGTAATTGGGTTTCACCTGTTGGAAATAAATAAATAAATAAATAAATAAATAAATACGTCTACTCGCTATAGTATCCAAACGTCCAAACGAAACAATACACTGATAGAGGAAATTTAGACAAGTGAACACCGCGCGGTAATTCCCCTACTCGGTTCTAAAGCGAGTAGCGGAATTACCGCGCGCTGTTCACTAAACGTATGCATTATTTGCGGAAATCCCCGAAAATGCGTTTCGTTTTCAAGCAAAGGCAATGTGAGGGTTGCCATTCGTGTAAAAAAGTAAATAACTACCGATGACGTAATCATCATCTAGACTCCCCTACCCCCATGTCATCCAAAATAACCAAAGCATAGTGCTCACGTAATAGTTGAACGACCTCTAAATAGCTAAATTATTTATAACAAAAATGAACCTTTTACGAAACAGCAACAGTTATTTTAAATAATAGTGTTAGTACCTTTTAGTTAGTTAGTACTTTTCAGAAGGTTATTGATAAATTCTCGGGATACGTTTTCCCATCGATTGAGTAGCATTTTGTTTTAACCGCACTAACATTTTTTTAGCCGATACCACACATTCTCAATTATTATTAGGTCTATAGACTTTAATGGCAGAGACAATAATTTAACAGTATTTTCTGCCAAAAAGGTTTATAACCGTGCGGCGCGGCGTCATCATCGATGAAGACAAAATAGTCCTCAAAATATTGTTCAAAAGGTACAACAATATTGTTCAAAATGTCCGTATAAACTGCAGCATTAACGCTTCTTGTGGAGCCATGTTTTCTTCATCATATCCTTCCCCAGCTTGCCTCCAAACAAGAACCCTACCATCAGAGTGGCATTGCGATGCGACTGCATTACATCGCTGATGATATTGATGAACGAAATGTACTATGTATAAACGGATCTTTATTCAATAACTTGAAAGCTACTAGCTGGGAGTATAATTCAATGAAATTGTTTATGACTATCTCGACTGCATGATGTTTAAGTTGGAAACTATACAGAGACGGTTGAATTTAATCCGTCGTATTATCATTAACATTTTTCCAGAATGTTCGTTGGCACCGTTCACCAGCGGTTCGACTGTCCAGCACATCCCGTTTGTGATTTTACCGCTGAAAGGTCAAATCATCCATCCCAGCAGGGAAATATCGTTTACAGGTAACATTTTTGATACTTTACTATTATGTATCCATCGAAGAAAGAGACCTAATCATATTCACGTGATCGCGCTGCAGAACGCCGAGCACGTTACAGGAAATATATGAATAAATGATTTGTGGTTCTACGACACGATCAAAAATTATGCAAAATTGTTGCAGGCACGTATAGGGTCCAAACCTAAAGCTTGGAATTAATGTATTGTTTTTAATTGACCAAAAAGAAAACAATAACTGTCTGTTGTCGTTTTTAGTAGAAGTGTTTTATCAAGAAATTATAATCGAAATGTGTCGTAAGGCACATTTATAAAGCAGGCTTTTAATAAATGTCTTGACAGTTTAAAACGATAATTGCAAATGCATACGAGTATACTTAACCACCGCTTGAACAGGGACGTCATTGTGCAAACATTTAATTCAAATATTAGACCAAAAAATTAATAGATAGGTGGAGTTGAAAGAAAAAGGATTTGAATACATAATAATATATACTAAATATTATAAAAAAATTTACTGCACAGACATTTTACTTCTAAAACCGGAATATATACAGGGTGTTTCAGTTTGTTGCATAACTTTAAGATTCGATAGAACTTTTAAAATTAATGCATAAAGTCTATATAAACATGGGTCGAAAAATGCGTGACTTCCGAAATACAGGATGTTTAAATTTACTTCCTAAAATAGTTTTTTTAAAATATTTCGAACAATATTTGATGTATAACAGTGAAAATTGGTATACAAGGGTTTTTTGGTACGACAAAACGAACCATGGGCATAGTTTTACTGTAGCCACTAGAGGGCGCTCTCTACTGTACCTGTAGTGTATTAAAATGACCGAAAAATTTTTCTTAGTGCAATTTTTTGCTTTTTGAATAAAAAAACTGATTCTTCGCACTTTTCAACATAAAAAAGCTCTCCTGTGAGTTTTCATTATAGTTAGCCGTTTTTGAGATATTTCGATTTTTAAGGTTCGATGCATTTTTAATTATTTATGGGAAAATAATATTTTTTTACATTTTCGATTTGGGCATTACAAGTAATTAAGATGATCGTTTAGATTATGTTTTTAAACACAGCAATAATTCCTAACTCCAAATAAACACAAAAAAACAGAACATTAATTTGTTTAATTTTCCAATATTATTTTTAACAAATTTAATTAATTATTTACAACTAAAATGCTATTGGATAGTTAGGACAAACATACAAAATCTAAAGTAGTTGCTCGAAATGTAAACCCAATTGTTCAATACACAATTCACATCTACGAATGATCGAACGTGGTGCATTATTCAAATAAGGCCTTATTTCATCACATGCATTCCTGATTCTGTCTATTAGCATATCTCTTGTGGTTACGGGAGTCTGGTACACTTTTTCTTTTAGAAATCCCCACACAAAGACATCTGATGTTAGGTCAGGGGATCGTGGAGGCCAGGCGATTGGTCCTCCACGGCCGATCCATCTTTCTGGATAATTTTCCTCCAGCCAGCTTCTAACTATTCTCGAATAATGAGCCTTTAAAAATTCCAAGAAGGTCGCAGCATTTAACCTTGCAGGCAAAAGGTAGGGTCCAAATAGTCGATTACGGTAGATACCAATCCACACGTTCACACTAAATTCATGCTGAAAATTTCTTTCCCGAACTGCATGCGGATTTTCATGCGACCAAATATGTTGATTATGAAAATTTACGACTCCACGTCTAGTGAAGCATGACTCATCGGTCCTTGCACACGTTGCAAATGATAAGGACGTCTATGGTCATTTCTAAGAACACGGTGAACATGGCTTGGTGAAATCCCCAAGGCACCAGAACCTCTCATAACACTTGTGGTTGGATCTCTATCAAACTCACGCAGAATCATATGGGTAAATCTGCGCTGACGAACATTTATGTTTTGATCCCTTTGGAGATTTCCAAAACCATTTTCAATTATTTGGCGATGCACTCTTACAAATACTGAGCGAGTTGGATGTCGTCTGTTTGGAAATCTTCGTGCGTATTATCTGGCTGCTTCTGCTGCGTTTCCATTTACAAAGCCATACACAAAATGAATATCCGCTAACTCTTGATTGGAGAATAAAAATGGCATTTTTATAAAACTTACAAAAAAAAACAGGTAAAAGAAACTAAATTTCGTGCATTCACAATTGCAAAAAAAAAGTTTCAGGTTTCAACAGACAACAAAACTAACTGTCAACTAACTGACGTTTAACCTTATTCTGCTTTCAATTTAAAAAATATTTGCAGGTACAGCCTACTTCTAAAAATTATCGAGATACTGACTTTTTAACGTTATTTCATCATAAATAATTAAAAATGCATCGAACCTTAAAAATCGAAATATCTCAAAAACGGCTAACTTTTACGAAAATTCACAAGAGAGCTTTTTTATGTTGAAAAGTGCGAAGAATCATTTTTTTTATTCAAAAAGCAAAAAATTGCATTAAGAAAAAATTTTCGGTCATTTTAATACACTACAGGTCCAGTAGAGAGCGCCCTCTAGCGGCTACAGTAAAACTATGCCCATGGTTCGTTTTGTCGTACCAAAAAACCCTTGTATACCAATTGTCTCTGTTATACATCAAATATTGTTCGAAATATTTAAAAAAAACTATTTTAGAAAGTAAATTTAAACACCCTGTATTTCGGAAGCCACGCATTTTTCGACCCATGTTTATATAGACTTTATGCATTAATTTTAAAAGTTCTATCGAATCTTAAAGTTATGCAACAATAAACTGAAACACCCTGTATATTTGAAAATGAAAATCATTCTAGATCTGAGGCCGTGGAATTCCCACTGTCATCAAGATTTATGATTGAAGGGGCAACGTGAGTATCAATGATACCCACATTTTAGGTTAGACCTTTTCTTTTACACGCTGATGCATTTTCCCACTTATTCGGTGTTATTCTTTGTATAGCATCATGAAACATATTTTTAAGGTCAACAATTTAAAACATTTATTTTCTGCTGCAACATTTTTTTGTATGTCTGCCCAAATGAGCTCAATCGCATTGAGCTCACAATGCTAAGGAGACAGTTTTATTTTGTTTTTTTGGCCATTTTATCAATTATGTTCAGGTTATATTTATTTTTATGCGTCTTGACAATTTGTAACAATTCTGCCTTAACCGTTGTATCATCATAACCAATCTCTTTATTTTTAAGCCATCCTTGAACTTCTGATTTTTTTGTTGGCGTTGTTGGAATTTTCTCGTGTGGTATGAAGCATTATATAATATGTAACCAAATTATCGTCAAGCTTCGATAGAGAATTTGAGAAGTAATTTTCGAACGAGGCTTCATCCATTTCTTCATGGTAGTCTCCCGTTTTTTTGGATCAAATGCCCATAAAGCATCGGACACAAATCCATCTTCATTACCGATGTGGCAAACTATCAATCGCTTACCTTTTCCTAAAAATAATTCATTTTGGACACTTTAAAACCGCTCCCATTAAAAACCCAACAAAATGATTGCTTGATTTCTTATCTCGATATAGTTTAAGCATGTACAAAAACAAAACATAATTTTAGTTCAAATTCCTCGTCTTACAAGTATTGAAAAATATGTAGGTGTCAGCTTTGCAAATCATGTCCTGAACACTTCAGTCACTCCTTCCATGCATTTCGTATTTATAAATGTTGATAATTATATGTTTTTCGCTAACGCTAAAATGAAGCTATTTAGCTCTTTTTGTAGGCGTTGTGCAGCTTATATCAACAACTTCATCAGCTGTATCCGTATCAGACATTTTGAGTTGTACGAAATTAAACTGACAAATCTAATAAACACACAGTAATACCAGTGTAAATCTGATGCCAACTCTGTACTGTACGACCAGCCACCAGGGCAGCCGGGATGCGCGATCGTATCGTCTCCCACTCCACCCTCTACGTTGTCATGTTGAAATATATCAGTGTACTAATCACGCGATAATTACTGTTTTGGTTTAGTCTCTTTCTTCGATACATACATAACTTTACATTACAAGATCAGGTTTTGTGGTAAAGTTGATATGTTACTATTCCACCCTATTCGTAGTCCATTTAGACAAAGATGCAGCGCCGCAAAGCGGCAGCCGCTTAATTGTTGCAATAGCTATTGGTCATTTGGCCATAAAAAAGTACAGGATCGAACTCGGGGCTCGGGGTATACAGTAGATGAAACTGAGAATATTTCTCCGAATGCTTGCTTAAGCCATGCTTCCTCTTCAGTGATATCTCCTCCCCGAAAACGTGACAAGAAGGAACGTTTGAATATTCAGGCAAAAGGAATCGTCATTAACGTTTATGAGAGCGAAATTTTAGTGCATCCTGAAATGAAAATTCATGATATTGAAAGACGTGTTTCGAACAAAACAGGGTTATGTCCTAATACAATTTTCAACATTGTTAAAGAATATAAAAAAAAACCAAACATTGTCTCCACCACACAAGAAGCTGCAGAACACGAATCTGTTGGATAGATACAGTTGATAACTTTGATCGGAAGTCCGTCAATTTTTTGAAAGTCTTGGACTTCCCACCATAGACAAAGTATTACGGGCAAATATAAAAAACTATGTGGCTTCAAATAATAGAACATTAAAATTTTCTGGCGTCAAAAATTTGTTTTATAAGCTGTCAACAGAGTGACGGGAAGCCATTGGGAAGATTGAATCCGTCACGTTCAACAGAATCTGGATAATATGATCGATATTCAAATTGAACCTGTAATAATTAATGTTAACCATTCGAACGATGATTCAAGTACTCATATAAGTATAATAAAGAATTGTGAGAAGTATGTGCGCTTCTTTCTATAAAAATAATCATTTATTTTGTTAGATTGTCCCAAGAGCATTGAAGAAAATACGGACCTGTACAATTTGGCTTTTGGGCGTGTTGCGTTTTGTCTGGGTGTAAATGGACTACGAATGGGGTATAGTGCATATTTGAATATATACAGGTTGTTCCATAAGTTGTGATACAAGTCGATTTCATAGATATATTTTTAATTTGAAGGACTTCGTATGCCGGTGTGCGCAATAACTGGTTCGAAATACATGACCGAAAATGGATGGACCGAACTGAGAAATCCCATCGATGATGACGTGCCATTTAGATTGTACAGAGACGAAGGAAGAACCTTTTTACAGGTACACACTTCATTTTTATTCCAACGTTATCATAACCGAATGACGGATTCGATTTTTCGTAACCTTGACAAAGTATTAATACAGTGCAACCCGCTTATGATGGACTCGGCGGGACTGTGACAAAAAGTCTATTATAGGCGGATGACCATCTTAAAAGAAACACTTTTTTTAATGAAAAAAGCAGCAGAAAAAATATATTAAAAGCTTAAAATGTGTTTATCATAAATAAAGATAAATATAAAAAAGTTATAAATTTGCATTTTTTCAGAATCTGACACATATTAGGTGCACACGTACTGTATAGGTATGTGTAAAAACCGCAAATTATTTGCTAAAAAAGCTAGTAATTTTCATTTTAACAGATTGTTTTTTTGTATATACAGGGTGGCGCATCGAAAACGAAACAGACGCATTTACTGGCAGCTCAGTTTTTTTTTGTAAAAACGCTCAGACCCGTCGATTTTGTTTTCGAGGGGGACACAAGTGCGAAGCCAAACTGCCGTAAACGATTGCATCATCTATATCTGCTTCGAGGAAATACCAAAATAGCTCGCATATAACGGATTTAAAATAGTCCGCTATAAACGAGGGTCAATTTTAAGCGAGTCTATAATATCCGAGGATTTTACATGCAATTATTTATAGGACCTTAAATTGTGTCCATTATATAAGCGTTTCCATTATAAGCAAGTTCATTATACGTGGATTCCACTGTACTACCCATACAAATTATATGACAGGTATCAGACGAATGCTTTACGTTTGACATTGTATATTGTAATGCATCAGTTTGTTGAACGTATAGCATGCACGTGAATATTTATTGATGGCTATGTATAGTACAATATCGTACAATTGACCATTTGATAAAACGACGACAATAAACCTATACGAGCCCTGTCTCAGTGAAGTTGGCCTATTTATCAAATCTACGCGTTTTATGAAATTTGTCATATTAGCGGAAACGTACTAAAAACTAAAACGTATTTCTGATAACATAATACTGAAAGTTGACTTGTTTATTTGCAGTGGTATGGAAGCTCGGATTTGCGCGGTAAACTATTTGGAAGATTGGTAATTGTCCATTTGATGTGCAGAGAAGTGTCGAACCAGAATCAAAATGAAAAGCAAGCCATTTCCAGTCCGTGCATCGCCTTTCGAATAGATGGATCTCCATACAAATACATTAACAGTCAGTATTACTACTCATGTTTTATGTTTATTGCATTTTATCGTTGAATATACTAATGTTTTGTGTTCTGTATAGGAAAAAGGAAAATCAACCAAGATCACAACACTTATATGCCTGATTGGACTCCTTGTAGCCAAGAGGAATTGCTGGACATTATTTTTGCCTTCCTAAAACGGCCGCTATAGGGAGCTTATTTCCAATTTAAAAAAATCCAAACGCCGTTATCATGCGTAATTGATGTACCTATTTAATAATCCGATTGCTCATTTTTCGCACTTTTTTCGCAAAGTCATTTTTCCATATTTTGTTTCATTTAGGGCGGGGGGGAGGTGTCGAATGCCATTGCAGAAAAAGTAATATCATTTCTGTTTGGCTGCATCGCTTCTCACGATCCTGGATAAATTCGAAAAAGCGTGCGTCTGCGCTCTTACTTGTCAAATTAGTCCACTTTGTAGCTAGTAGATAGTATTTTACGGATGTGGTTTTTTAATACTTTCATAAAATCGTGAAATCAATATCTTTCTTCGTTTTGGAGATATATAATGAAATATGCTTAAATTACAAATTTCAAGTATAGGGTTTTCCAATAAGGACTTGACAACATTCAATTTTCACTGGTTTTTGAAGCGTTGCCTTATACAATGAAATTGATGCGTGGATACCATATTTTAGAGTAAAATTCACAGATGAAAATGTCAAGATGGCCACTGGGCCTCATCTTGAAAAAATATATATGAAAACGGGGCCTTGTGGCACATCATTTTGAAGCTCCTGACGATTACTTTATAACCCTAAAATATAAAGTCAATACCTTTACCTACTACAAAATGGTGGTACATTAAATAATTGCCTGAATACATTGACATTTGAAAACTTGATAATTCGAAATAATACAATGATGTTTGTTTTGGTACTGATATTCTTGTCACTGTCAACAAACAATAACGAAACAAATTTTTATCGTTGTTGCTGTGGATACGGCACGGAATTACAATATTTGTAGAGATACCACCATTTTGTAGTAGGTAAAGGTATTGACTTTATATTCTATAGTTATAAAGTACTCGTCAGAAGCTTCAAAATGATGTGCCACAAGATCCCCGCTTTCATATAATTTTTTTTCCATCTTGACATTTTCATCTGTCAATTTTACTCTAAAATATCGTATCCACGCATCAATTTCATTACCTCAAGTTTTAATTTTTTGAATCGATCCGTTCAAAAAATCAAAGGGGAGGGGGACATTAAAGAAAAGCACTGTATATGAAAAAAAAGACTTCAATTATCCCTGATAATCTATTTCAGGTGGCTTTAAACTAGGAATAAATCGTGAAATACGTAGTTTTTACCGCTTGTGCCACTTATATCTTGTAATTGTGTGGATTTTTTTATCAGTACGTTAATTACGTGTTTTTGCAAAATAATGGCGTTTGGATTCTTGAAATTGAAAATAATTTCCATTAATTTCCCTTGCCCTTTCTTGTTATGAAATTCTTCAACGAATGTCTCGTTGCCGAGATACAGCCGGCTTCCGTTTTTTGTTAGATCACCTGGTATGTCCTCCCCTGAGGTCATTCCTGGAGACTATTGATACTGATACTAGGCTAGCCATAAAAGGCCAACGTTTCTCGGATTGATAAGACAAAACTGGGCAATCGAAAACTTGTGATTTTCTTTTTGCTCTCATCCTGTATACAAAGATGTGTCAGTTTAGAGATTCCCAGTTGCAAATCGAATTTGTTGTCTGGACATAGACAGCTGGCTTTTTGCTACTTCCTCACTAGGATATCTGAGGAATTCTTTAGCGAATCAGCAGCTCGATGTGTCATCCTAGATTTTCTGGGAGATTTCGACTAACTAACTGAGACACACGTATGTTGAGGTTGCAACCACAACCTTAAAGAAACTCATACCAGAAAGAAAGTTTCTTCTCTCTTCGTGGCGAACATGCTTGTTTTACTCATCAGGACTCTTAACAAACATATTCTCTGACGTGGATTTATGTTAAATTGACACACAATATTGTAGCGTTTTTCTGGGTGTGCATTAAAACACTGGATTCCACAAAAATTTATTTTACTTGATAGAACATTTATGTACATCACTATTTATGTCTAATTCTTATGTCGCCATTGACTGCACTATACTTCACTCCGCTCTGCTACTCTCCGTATTCAGTACTCTGCCTCCATCTCGCGGCCGCCGAGTTATTTATAGTCTGGTGAACCACAAAGCGGCATCTAGAATATCGGAGGTCACTTCGCGTCGATCTAGAAGGCAATCGACAGTCACAGACGCCGCCAAGCGGCTTGTGCGGTCGTGGTTCGCGAGATCGGCCATTAAGCTCTGGCGAGTAGGAGAGTCGCCCAACAGATGGCGCCAATAGTACTATTTGTCACAATATTCTTCGATCGACATAAACCATGATCAAACTTTCTTTCTGTCCTGAATTTATTTGCATAGTCGCTGTACAATCAATATTTGCTGCTGTACTTTTTGTCATATTATTATGTACTTTTCTATGATGATATTTTTCAGACATAACCGAGGTGATTTTCATCCCTGACGGTGCACATGCGTCTACGGAAGCAGCCACTTCGACTCACTTGACTGCTACCGAATATGTCGCTATCGGAATATGCTCGGTAATTATATTATACCATAAGTAATCAGAAAAGACAAAGCTGGTTAAACAATATTGTTTTATTTTTTGGTGGTAGATGTGTCAACTTGTACTAAATTTACAGTAACTAACAGTCAGGCTATATTAAACACTACGCCTTCCAAGTTGAGTCATTTATTTTAACTGCTTGTAGGACTCGTCAAGAGGAGTTGATATACAAAAAATGACCTATATAGAAGTTTGAAAACAGGGTGGCGCATCGAAAACGAAACAGACGCATTTACTGGCAGCTCAGTTTTTTTTTTAAAAACGTTCAGACCCGTCGATTTTGTTTTCGAGGGGGATACAAGTTTGGCAAAAAATCACGTTAACACTGGTGCAGCCCTCTGGGCGGGGGTGACACTAACCCTAAAATCTTAAATGGAAAGGGGAGTCGAGTGATACCTTATTTTAAAGGTCTTTCAATTCCCTTTATAATGATATAAAATTAATGTACTTCAGTTCAGTAGTTTTGAAGATTTATTGATTTAAAGCTTAAATAAAACTAATACATCATCATTAGTGGAGATCAATACATTTGGCAGTAAAGTAATTTAAAAATGAAGAATGAATTGACCCGTTAGGCAAGTAATTGTGAAAATGGCCACCATGACTCTCCATGCAATAATAAAGATTTTGGTCAAAACGTTGCCGCACATTTTGCAATATTAGAGGAGTAATTTGAAGGCACTCATTCACAATTCTTTGTCGCAGGTCTTCTAATGATGTTGGCTGAGTAGCATAGATTTTGCTTTTTAAATGAGACCCCACATAAAGAAATCCACAGGTGATAAATCTGGCGAATTTGGGGGCGATTCAATGGCAACTTTTCTACCAATCCATCGAGCTGGAAACGTCTGATCTAAATATTGTCGAACACGTAATGCGTAATGTGGTGGGGCACCATCCTGTCGGAACATCAACCTATTCGCAATGTACCGCCGATCATTCTGATTTTCAATTATGGCTGTTAATGTAGGATCTATGGCGTCTTCCAGTAATTTCAAATACATTTCACCGGTCAAATTTCCAGGTAAGAAAAAAGGACCAACTAAATGATCGCCAAAAACACCAGCCCAAACATTTAATTTTTGTGGCTGCTGTGTATGAACCTCATGATAAATTGTGGGACTAGAATCGGACTAATATCGGCAGTTATGACGATTTACTACGCCATTTAAGAAAAAGGAACATTCGCCGGAAAAGCAAGTGTTGAATGGAAAATGTTCATCGTTTATAATTTGTTCACTCATATCTTCACAAAATTGTAATCCCCGATCAAAATCGTCTTCATTAAGTTCTTGTACCAGGTGAATTTTATACGGATGAAAACTATGGGCCTTTAGAATCCGTTAGACAGTACGTCGACTAACACCACACACAGTCTCCAATTTGCGGGTACTTAACGTAGGATCTACATAAACTTGCCCTAAAACCCCCACGTCTATTGCTTGGTTCCTTATGGGATTTTCAATGTTGCGTTTTTTATTGGCGACTGACCCAGTTTCCCGAAACTTAGCTACAAGTTCTAGAACATATTTTCGATGCACGTTACTGTTCTCATGCTCATTAAATATTTCAGCTGTTCTATTAGCGCACTGATTATTTCCGAAAAATATTTCGATAAATTCAACTCTTTCTGCTGTGGAATATACCATGGTTAATTTATGTAATAAAGCGTTACAAGTTATTTTAGCAACAAAGTTTGTTCAAATCAATCGCAAACTTGTACTAAATTCCTATTTAAAATAAATTCGTGATATTTCCTTATCTTTCTTCAAGAAATAACTGTTTTGCCACAAAAAACGCTCCAATAGCTATTTTCAACAACAAAATGATAAACAAACCATGGGCGTAGTGAAGAAAAGCATTTACTTATTAAGTAAATTCTTTGGTCAAATTTCTTCTGAAAGTAGTACACCTAGTATATCTATTAAAATCTAATTTAAGCTTTAAATCAATAAATCTTCAAAACTCCTAAACTCATATATTTTACATCATTATAAATGGAATTGAAAGACTTATTAAAATAAGGTATCACTCGACCCCCCTTTCCATTTAAGATTTTGAGGGTGGTTTCACCCCCGCTTACGGGGCTGCACGTGCTAACGTGATTTTTTTGCCGAACTTGTGTCCCCCTCGAAAACAAAATCGACCGGTCTGAGCGTTTTTCCAAAAAAAAAAACTGAGCTGCCAGTAAATGCGTCTGTTTCGTTTTCGATGCACCACCCTGTATAGTATGTATACAGGGTGTCCGCAAAGTTGTGGTTTTCCTTTACACGACGTGTAGATCTTGAAAACATAAGCAATTTTTCTTAGTACCATATACACCAATGTCTTGAGGGAACCGAGATAAAGGGCTCTGCAACATCAAAAATATCTGAATACCGTCCTGTAGCCGCGACATCCCCGACTGGTACTAGGACACTAGCCGACCCGACGACAGAACTGGGTCGGGGTCAGTGTGTCAGGTCACTGACCTGAGGTCAGTATGCAACCTTCAACCGACGGTTACGGTCACGCGTCTAGAGGTAATGGCGTAGACGAGAATCCCTCAACAAGCACTAGAGACGTGGCTAGAGAAGTGCAAGTATCAAAAACTAAAGTGTGGCAAACGCTGCGTGAAGAGGGGCTGTATCCGTTTCACGTCCAACGTGTACAAGCCCTTCAACCTGACGATTTTCCAGCAAGAGTGCGGTTTTGTGAGTGGTTGTTGCATCAACATGACAATAATCCGGACTTTTTGAAGTGCATATTGGTGACAGACGAATCTACGTTCACGCGTAATGGGGTGAATAACTTTCGCAACACTCATGTTTGGTCATTTTCAACAAACATTTTCGGTGAATGTTTGGGCTGGCATGGTGAACGGTATGCTCATTGGACCATTTATTCTCCCAAATCGATTGGACGGGATGCAATACCTAGACTATTTACGCAACATTTTACCTTCCTTGTTTGTCTGCGTCTGCTCGGTAGCGCATCAGCTGATTTTATTTTCTGTTGGAGCGGTATGATTTCGGGCAGAGACGTACTTAGCCCTTCTCGTCAACTGGAGAGTGAGTACTTTTTCCTTTATTTTTTTTTACTTGCTCGCCCTCGTTTCACTACACATTACCTTTGTTATTTCAAGGGTAGTTGTTTCTGAAAAGGAAAACCCCAACTTTGCGGACACCCTGTATATTGGTATTTTAAGTTCGACCCTCGTCATCGGGATCTCGGAAACAGTAAGAGATACGGAGTTATTTAAATGAGTACAAAGTTGCGTATTCAGGAAACTAACAAAATTTTTTTCTAAATTTATTTTTACCGGGATTTAAAAATTAGTCGCACATTAAATTTTTAAAATTTTGATTTCGTGTTCAAGTTTCACGATACCTTATAATTTTCGTTCCAATAACAAATTGATGGCCAACTGAGGGAGATCTGAATAAAATTGTCATATTGACGTTCATGTTTCTGTGAAAATGTTCGCAAATAAATTTTAAATTAAACGCATATACGTTGCATCTCAGATTATCAAAGCTTTATACATGAAAAAGAACAATACCAACTTCAATGCTAAAGCTGTTTCATACAATAAGTCATCTACAATTTCCGAAACTTGTGCACTCACATATTGAATATAAAAAACAATATTCACATCCCTGTTCTAACATAAAGGAAACCCAACATACAAAATCGTAATCTATACGTGCACGCCAATGACTACCGATACTTCTCTCTTGGATGTTCAAAGCCGAGTGCCAGTGCAGTGTTGCCAGGTGGAGGCGACGATATTTCGGTAGAATTGTATGGAATTTTTCCGTAGTTTTTCGGTAGATTGAATACCGAAGAGTAAATGAAGGCTTAAAACTTAACAAAACTTTATTTAACTCAAAATAGAAAGATAAAACAAAAATAAACAGTTTATATCTCGCTTTAGCTAACTAAAGATAAAATATTCTTAATAAAAAACAGAAAAAATGTATTGATGCACCTGCAACTGCAAATGACAACGCATAATTATTGCTTTTTAAGCCAGTAAAAAATTAAAACGATTTTGGAAAAAAATTAGTTTTTTCCGTCTCTTTTCGTATCTCTAACTGATTCCGAGGTCCCGATGGTACAGGTACATAGGTATAGATATGTTCAGGTGCTGCTCGGTTTGGTGTACGTAGCGTCCGTGTTCCTGTACCTCCACCTGCGCAGGAAGAACAAACCGCGCGACCTGCATTCAATCGCTACCGCGAAATCAGCCGTTGCCGGAACAGCCGGTGCCGATTTGAGGGCAAGCGAAGAGGGTGACAACGTTGGTATGGGAATGGGAGGTGGAGTAGTCAAGAGCAATCCTCTATTGGCTATCTCCTCTCACTATTTGCACGCACCCACCGCCAATAATAACCCTGCCGTTAACGATCACATCTACAGCGACACCAACAGTTCGGACGATATGGAAACGCCGCCTGATATCATCAGACATCATGAACATCAGCGGAAGAAACACCAAGTAAGCGGATCAGAATCGGTTTTGTACGTTTTTTACTTCCTATACGCCGTTAGGCGAGGAAGTATTGCAATCACGAAGAATTTCCAAAATTAGAATCATCTATCTCGGATGTTGAAATTATGTCTCTCATTTCTGCCAGTCTGTTAATACTGCGCCCGTATATAACTTGGAAAGTACTGCTCTGATATGTAAACAAGATTACTACTAAGCCGAGAACGAAAAATGTTTGTACTCTTTGGAAATCGGTTCGGTTGCAGCAAAGGAAAGTTCTGAAATCGAACAGAAAATGAAACCATCGAAACTTGGTTTTTTTACTTTTCAGAGCATCCTTAGCATTTTTTAGAATAAACTCCAAAAACTGAGAAGTGGGCCAGAGTGTATCCCAATTTTATGATGTTTGTACAGGGTGTAATTCAATTATTGATGGCTAAAAATACAGGGGTACTGTTGCGTCTTGTAGAACTTAGGATTTCACTGTTTTTTCACTTGAAACTTCTAGAGGGTAGTCTGATAAATTATTTTACATCATAAAAAGTGTGGATGAAGCACGCTTTTCATGAATTTTTTTCCCCAAAACACTGTATTTTTTAGCAGTTATTTCCCCCATTATTTCCACCGCCATCTACCACATGACGCTGACGTCTGTGGATATGTCATATATGAAAGGCGCTTGCCTGCGGTGTTGCCGGATTGGGCTCATATCTCGGAAACCGTAGCCCTTAGAGCATTATGGTTTCCACTGATATTTTTTTGTCGGTTCATGTAAAAAACTATGTATGATCCGAACGTGTATATTCGCAGACAACTTCAGCTCTGGTGCATTACCAGCTGCAGATTCAACAATCGAACAGCCTCGGCATGCACCGTCCCCGTTCTCACTTTTCGATGTCCGAAGCGAATCACGATTCCACCACGGAAAAGCTGCCCGAGGAAAACGTCTCCATTGTGGAAACTATGGAAACGAGAGAAGAACGGCCGGAAAATATCCGAGCACTCACTGCCACTACCAGAAGGAAACTATACTTCAATCCGGCATATTTTGAACCGCAGCTACTTTTGGTTAGTAACATTTTGAATGTTTTCGATATTTCATTATGAAGATTAGAGTGTCGAGTAAAATCAGTACGTTTAACGTTTAGTCGGTTTTTCGACATCCATTACTTTCAATTACTGTATAAGGTACAATTTTATAGATGAGTTAGTTACAATTACAATCTTGTTCAAACTTTTCGGACTAAGCTTTCCACAGCGTCCTGATCAAATAAAAACTTATCAAACAAAACCGTAAATTATAAATTTTCTCGTTTCACTGTATGCCCTATATATTTTTTCATTCTTTAGTTTTGATGATTCTCCTTTTCGTAAGATTTATCTGTCCTCCTTTAAATACAGGGTTATCCAAATTAAGTGTCCACCATTAGTAACTTTGTTATTAGTGAAAATACAAAGTTGTTTGAATTAGCAAACTAGTAGCATTTTTAACGCTGGTAAAAATGAGAAATAAAAAAAAACAATTGAGAGTCGTTATTTTGATTTTTTTCAGTAAAATAACATTTTTTTAAATGGAAACCCCTGTATATTATATTTTTTTCTGTTAAAGCATCAAATTTTAAACAAATGCTCTCTTGCTCTCAAGGAGGATTTTCTGCACACTAAATAGCATTCTAACATATCACACTTTTCTTCATGGGAGAACATTTTTCTTCAAATTAATGACACAATAAAGCTTATAAACAAGTATTTACACTAATGTTTGACATTATTTGATTTTATCATTGTTTTCCAAAGCCTTCTAGTTGCGAGTATGTCCAGTTTAACAATTTGTCGCTTATCTTAATGCTGTCAAATCGCGAACGCCATGTTGTTTTCATAGCCGTCTTAATATTATAATACTGCAAATAATTAAAAATATTTATCGTTATTTTGACTTTATTTTTGACTTTAGCGGAAAAGTCATTATGAACTTTTTTGTTTAAAATTTGATGCTTTAACAGAAAAAAATATAATATACAGGGGTTTCCATTTAAAAAAATGTTATTTTACTGAAAAAAATCAAAATAACGACTCTCAATTGTTTTTTTTTTATTTCTCATTTTTACCAGCGTTAAAAATGCTACTAGTTTGCTAATTTAAACAACTTTGTATTTTTACTAATAACAAAGTTACCAATGGTGGACACTTAATTTGGATAACCCTGTACACTATACGCATGTCCTAAAAGTTTTGACACAAAATATTTATCGGCTTTTTTTTTCGACGAAGAAACACTAAATAGTTATCAAAAATTACAACTCAATAGTTAACTGAGCTATACTATCGAAGCTTTCTTCTCATGAGTTCCTGGACGGAATTCAGATCAATTTCTCTCAGTTTTTCGTAAATTCGCCGTCTTAATTGTTGTTCGTCTTGGGTTTCCCAGCGTCCGCGATAAACCTTCCTATGAATTTTGTAGCAAAACTTTTACGACACGCGTTATTCGACTAGGAAGTAGATGAATAGAATAGTGTTGTTTATATCGCAGACCCCGCCGCCGGCAGCCGTAGAATTTCTTTGCAAGATCCGCGAAGTGATTTCGATAGCGAAGGAGAAGATGGCTCTGAAACGGTTCTCGCCCAGCCTGTTGAACATCCCCGAAGAGGAGGACGTCGTCGCGTTGGAAGGCGGAGCGAGAACGGGGCGTACCTTCGGAACCGGCAGCGGCGTCAACTCCGTATCGACCGCCATCACCAGAGCGAACGTGAATCTGAAACGAGAGAACAGCCGTCGCAGGACGACGTGCGGAGGGTGTCCGGGATGCGAGCCGCTACAGATGGCCGCCAGAGGGCGCAGCGCCGCGCATGCGAGACACAACGGCGGGGGGAAACTGCCGGAATTCGCGGCGCTGCCCGCGTGCCAGAACTGTCAGATATTGCCCATCGATAACAAGCAGACGATCATTAGAAAGTGGTCCGTTATTTACGTATTTTTCATTTCATTTTGTGGAGCATTTCACGTGAAGCGAAAAAGAAACATGTACGAGCCCCTTCCCACTTCAGTTGGCCCAACTGTTGAAATCTTAGTTTTTTCTTATCAAACACAAATAATAAAAATGTAGCAGGGTGTTATAATATAATATTAACAATGAATATTTTGATAATATATAGTACAAAACACCAATTTTATCACTCCCTAATAAAATTTGCAGCATAAAAATAACACATGTTGCAATTACAGCAAAGCAACCTATTTTCATTTCAATGCAAAAAAGCCATGACAATTGTTTTTATTAATCACAGCTGTCAGAATACGTTTAAAATAGTTTTGGGTAGTTAAGGTTCTCAAAATGGGTAGAGGAAAGGTTGTTAGTGAGAAAATTCGGTTACTGATAATTATATTTTTTAATTCTTGGAAATCAAACTCAGAAATTGCAACTTTGTTAGACTTGTCGCGGTACAGTGTGAGAAATATTGTGAGAAGATATAACGTAATTGGTTCAGTTAATATTAAGCCACGATATGTGAAAAAAAGTAATATCACAAATGCCGACCGAAGAGCATTAAGAAGAATAATCGTGAAAAACAGGCGTGCCAGTTATTTACAATTAAGTGCTCTGTGGAGGGACGCTGTTGGAAGGAGAATTTCGAGGTCCACAACTCATACAGAGGCCCACAAACTGGGATTTAGCACTTGCAAGGTAAGTTTTCTTATAAAAAAGTGAAGTAAAAACCCTAAAGTTGCACAATTTGTTTACAGGTCAAAGAAAAGCCACTATTAACTCCACTGCAAAAGAAAAATCGGCTTAAATGGGCTAAAGAACATAGACAATAGACACCTCAACAATTGTGTGCAATACAATGGAGTGATGAGGCCCGTTTGTGTTGGTGACAGTCGCAGTAGAGTTATTCGCAAAAAAATGAAGCATTCCATGTTGACTGTCTGAAGAAAAAAGTGAAATTTCCAGCATCCATTCTGGTCTGGGGCAGTATGTCATCAAAAGGAGTAAGGAAACTTCATTTTATTGATGGAAATGTGGATACAAGCAAATATTTGGCAATTTTAGAAGAATTGCTTAACCAGTGATGGAAGAATGTTTGACATCCGGCCAAGATTTTGTGTTTCAGCAAGATGGTGCAGCGTGACATACCTCCAAAAATAGCTGTAAAATGGATGGAAGAAAATAATGTACCACTTTTGAAATGAGTTTCTAGCAGTCCAGATCTGTCACCTATTGAAACATTGTGGCACGAGATGAAAAAGGTTCTACGACAACATCCTGCTCGTACAATCACGGAACTGAGACAAAAGCTTCAAGAAATATGGGATTGTTTTACACCAAATTTTTGGCAAAACTTGGTTAACACTATGCCCCAAACAATTTCAGCCGTAATAAAAAATAAAGGTGATGTTACCCAATGGTAATCTTTCAATTGTTGCTTTGTTAACTTCTCGCATTTATTCGCACAATGTTTATTTGTTCAGATGTTCTATTAGTTATAGGTCTAAGTGATTTCAAATATGTATTTTTTACGACTAGAGTGTATCTAAAATGTTTTTGAGAAAATAAATTGTTTTAGAATAAAATAGTTTCGTCATGTTTAGTTTATAAAGGCATATTTTGGTACAAATCTTGAAGTGAGTGGGAAGGGGCTCGTAGTAGGTGTAGAAAAGAAGATAAAGATTTTTTCAGTGGCAAGAATTTTTTAGAATCCAAGTGGGATATGAAACATAGCGTTTTAGTTTCGAAATTTTCTGTATTCTTTGATGAAAAAGTGGAATTAAAAATAAAATAAGGTGCTAAACCGGATGTAAATACTTCAAACCATAATTTGGGCAACTTGGAGTTGTTTATTTTCGAATTTCAACTTTTTATTTATCAAAAAGTACAGAACATTGCCTGTATAAAACGCTTTGTTTCGTATACCTCTGTGATACTTTCCAATTCGGAAGAATTCTTGGAAAAAAATCTCAATTTCAAATACTCTTCCGAAGTCAGTAAATTATCAAATAAACGCGGACGCGACACTGTTTTCTCTATTACTCGTACACCTACTAGATACTCAAACAGGCCTAATATGAACGAATTTTAAAACCTTATTTTTTTTCTTTGTACTCTTCAGGTGAAATGATCCTTATGCATAATATGATAATTATTAAACAATACTTTTGGATTTTGAAATTATAGATAGTCTATGGAACAAGTTGTAATGCAAAATCAAACCAGTCATTTACTAAATAAATTGAAGATTTCAAGCTCTCGTGTTGAAACTTTCCGTTAGGGATGCATTTTGAAACATTGTTGTCATTGTTGGTTAATTTATTATATTCATAAATATAACGTTCATCTTCACTTTAGCGACATTCTATGTAAAGTAGATTCATCGATGCGTATATATTTGCAGGTTGGAGGACATTCCTGCAACGCGGAACGTGGGCGACACCGCGAGTGCTCCGAACAGCACGATGAGCGGCGGTGAATCCCCCAGAAGGTTGAGGTCTCCGGCGAGGTCGCTGCCGCCGTACCATGAACGTGCGACGTCTGATCGGCGCGATCTTAGATCGGTTATCGGTAGCGGTGGCGCTGATTCGGCTGAACGACCACATCGCCTCATCACCTCAATGGCGAACGATCGGATTTCGACAAAACCGAAAAGAAAAACCAGAAAATCGCACCATCCTCCACCGCCTCCTGTACCTGTTCCCGTTGCTGTTGTTGCTGCCAACAAGCAAAATCAACACAATGAGGTATACAAGCAGCGCGGTCAATAGATAGATATACAGGGTGGCGCATCGAAAACGAAACAGACGCATTTACTGGCAGCTTAGTTTTTTTTTTGGAAAAACGCGATTTTGTTTTCGAGGGGGACACAAGTTTGGCAAAAAATCACGTTAGCACGTGCAGCCCCCTCGGCGGGGGTGACACCAACCCTAAAATGGGGGGTCGAGTGATACCTTATTTTAAAGGTCTTACAATTCCCTTTATAATGATATAAAATTAATGTACTTCAGTTCTTTAGTTTTGAAGATTTATTGAGTTAAAGCTTAAAGTAGACTTTAATAGGTACATCAGATTAGTTTCAGAAGAAATTTGACTAAAAGAATTTACTTAATAAGTAAATGCTTTTCTTCACTACGCCCATGGTTTGTTTATCATTTTGTTGTTGAAAATAGCTATTGGAGCGATTTTTGTGGCAAAAAAGTGATTTCTTGAAGAAAGATAAGGAAATATCTCGTACTTATTTTAAACAGGAATTTAGTACATAGTTTGCGATTGATTTGACCAAACTTTGTTGCTAAAATAACTTGTAACGCTTTATTACATAAATTAATCATGGTATATTCCACAGCAGAAAGAGCTGAAATTATCGAAATATTTTTCGGAAATAACCAGTGCGCTAATAGAACAGCACAAATATTTAATGAGCGACATGAGAACAGTAACGTGCATCGAAAATATGTTCTAGAACTTGTAGCTAAATTTCGGGAAATTGGGTCAGTCATCAATAAAAAACGCAACATTGAAAATCCCATAAGCAACGAGGCAATAGAAGTGGGGGTTTTAGGGCAAGTTTATGTAGATCCTACGTTAAGTACCCGTAAATTGGAGACTGTGTGTGGTGTTAGTCGACTTACTGTCCAACGGATTCTAAAGGCCCATAGTTTTCATCCGTATAAAATTCACCTGGTACAAGAACTTAATGAAGACGATTTTGATCGGCGATTACAGTTTTGTGAAGATATGAGTGAACGAATTATAAACGATGAACATTTTCTATTCAACACTTGATTTTCCTACGAATGTCCATTTTTCTTAAATCGCGTAGTAAATCGTCATAACTGCCGATATTTGGCCGATTCTAATCCCAGAATTTATCATGAGGTTCATACACAGCAGCCACAAAAATTAAATGTTTGGGCTGGTATTTTTGGCGACCATTTAGTTGGTCCTTTTTTCTTACCTGGAAATTTGACCGGTGACCATTGAATGGCCCCCAAGATCGCCAGATTTATCACCTTTGGATTTCTCTATGTGGGGTCATTTAAAAAGCAAAATCTATTCTACTCAGCCAACATCATTAGAAGACCTGCGACAAAGAATTGTGAGTGAGTGCCTTCAAATTACTCCTTAAATATTGCAAAATGTGCGGCAACGTTTTGAGCAAAATCTTTATTATTGCATGGAGAGCCATGGTGGCCATTTTCAACATTTACATGCCTAACGAGTCAGTTCATTCTTCATTTTTAAATTACTTTGCTGCCAAATGTATTGATCTCCACTAATGATGGCAAAATCGACGGGTCTGAGCGTTTTTTAAAATAAAAGCTGAGCTGCCAGTAAATGCGTCTGTTTCGTTTTAGATGCGCCACCCTGTGAGGATAAATATGCTTTATTCTGTCTCACATTTAGAGGGACATTTTCTAACAATTGTGGCAGATTGTATCGAAGAAAATCTAAATAATTTTCACCGGTCAGTCGAGGTGGAATAAAGTAGGGTCCGATAATCATGCCATTTACCACGCCAGCCCAAACATTTCGTGATAATGAATGTTCAGAATGACTTTGATTTACAGCTTGCGGATTTTCTACTGCCCAAACATGATTGCTGTGGAAATAATGCACTCTATTTCGTGTAAACGTGGCCTCGTCTTATCTTAATTCCGTGAAATCTTCATTTCTGCTGAGCTCTTCTAAAAGCCACTAGTAAAATACAACTCTTCTAGGGTGATCTTCAGGTTATCACGCTTATACCCGTTGATATTGATAAGGATAATATTGTTCTTGTCGTATTGCCTTCCATACTTTACTATGAAAAAATTGAACTTAAGCCGCTATGGCTCTATTACTCATTGTTGGGTCATCTTCGACCATTTCTAAGATGTCTTCCTCAATTTGTAACACATCAGGTTGACCAGGTCTTCCAGCGTGACCTCCTCGTTGTTTCTTTAAATATCCTGTGTCACGAAGTGTACTAACTAAATGTACAAACGTCTGTGGAGCCAGATGATTTCTTAAAGGAACCCTTTCCGCATACGACCTGCATGCTACGGCTGCATTTTGTTTGCTTTCTTCGTATATTAGTATTATGTCCACTAGTTCATCGGGTCATTTTTCGCACAAAATAATCAGACAATTGAAAGTATACGCACTATTAAAAGACTGATACAACTGATCGAACCGAAGGCTCGTACTGAAAACTACAATGACATAATAAGTTTGCTAATTTAGAAAAAAAAAAACCGGTTAGATTTTACACGGCAGTCGTCGAGAATATCAAAAAATCTGTGTTATACTGATATTCTTGTTTTTCTGATAATTTATTATGCAACTTTTACATATACTAAGCGACATATAAATCCGAACACCCAGTTTAAATGGTTTTATTTTAATAAAATTTTGTATAAGTACTTAATGAAGCATAATAAGTAAATGATAAAAATTTCAAAATGATTGCACTGCTTTAAAGCCCTTTGACCTTTAATAATGTGTGGATGCACCCTGATGTGCTACGCATTCTCCAACGCGCCTAGGCATGCTTCTGATCAGGTGGTCAATGTCCTCCTGTGGTATCTCAATCCAGGCAACCACCAACTCCTCTCGAAGTGCTTCTAGAGTCTGAGGAGGACGTTGCAAATTGAGCAATCTCCTACTCATCATATCCCACACGCGCTCAATTGGAGATAAGTCGGGAGATCTTGGTGGCCATGGTAACAATGTGACATCATTATGTTGAAAGAAGTCTATTGTGACTCTTGCAACATGTGGTCGGGCATTATCTTGTTGGAAAGTTGGATCTGCCAGGGTGTCAAGATAGGGTAAAAGATGGGGTTCTAGAACTTCGTGGATATAACGCTGCGCGTTCATGTTACCTCTGATGAAGATTAAAGGTGACCTGGAACCATAAGCTATAGCACCCCAAACCATAACTTCAACAGTGTGATGAACATGTCTTTCAACAAAAAACTCTGGATTCCTCCTTTTGACCACGTCGCCTTCTAACCCTGGCACGACCATCGTGCATGCCTAAACAAAATCGAGACTCGTCACTAAAGACAATACTGTTCCATTCCTGATCCCAGAGTGACCGTTGTCTGCACCACTCAGGGCGATTACGTCGGTGTTCTCGAGTTAAAGGGAGGACCCAGTGTGGCCGGTATGAAAACAAGCCAAAACTTCTCATTCGTCGGTAAACACTTCGCATGCCAAAAAATGCAGTATAAAAACCGGAATGTCCAACTGACAAGGCTGAAAATTTTTTCACTTGTTATTTACAGTAAGATAAATACATTCACCAACTTTTATTAAAATAAAACCATTTAAACTGGGTGTTCGGATTTATATGTCACTTAGTATATGTGTTTCAACTCATTTTGACGAGTCCTGCAAGCAGTTAAAATGAATGACTCAACTTTTGATTTATGGAAAATGTAACTTTCAGACAAGAATAATGAACCTGCCACCACCAGACATGATTCAAGAGGCAATGGAAGTGGACCGAACCGAAAGAGTTTCCTTAACTCAGAAGCAGCAGGAGGAGATTATCAAAGGTCTAACGTTCCATCAAAACCTTGTGTTACGGGATAACATCGGAAAACCGCAGCATCTGAAGAGCAAGTTTGAAAATTACGTTGATTACGAGACCGACAGTCTCGAAAGGATTGCTAGGAAAGGTAGATATTTCTCGAAATTGCGATTCCTAAAAGATGGTCCTCGGAATCCTGCGGTTCCGAGGGCGGTTCAATAAGTACCTGTGTTCGAAATGAAGACACCACTTTTTTCCAAAAAAAAAAAACTTTTTTTCAACATAATCCCCTTTTAGAAAGATACACTTTTCCTACCGTTCCTGCCAAAAAGATAGGATTTGTCGAACACTCCAAAATACGCCTTTGTCTCGGCGATAGCTTTGAGCTAAATACACGAGGATGACGCGGTTCACATCCCAAAAAATCGTCGCCATGACCTTTCCGGTCGATGGAACTGTCTTCACCTTCTTTGAGGCAGATTCACCTGAAGAAATCCATTGTTTTGATTGTTGCTTAGTTTCTGGTGTGTAATGATGAATCCAGGTTTCATCGACGGTGACAACTCGACACAAAGACTCCTTCAGATTTCGCTTAAATTCCTCAAAACAGCGCTTCCAAGTTAACAGCCGCATCCACTTGTTGTCCACCGTGAGCAATCGCGGCACCCATCGGGCCGACAATTTTTTATAGCCTTATCACTTATCATGTAAAATATTGATTGTCGTTACGGTCGACACACCTACGGCCTCCGCTACTTGCCGCACTTTCGTTCACCGATCAGCGAGAATCATGTTGTGGTAACCACGTCTGCCGTCGCCCACGTTTAAATTCTATATCTAACCGTGCTCATAGATGACGAAGTGTCCCCATAAACAGCATCCAACTTTGCTTCTATCTCCTCGCATTTTTTCCCATCCAAAAATCAAAAGCGAATTACCGAACGATACTGCTCTTTTTCCATCTTAGCGAAAATCACGAATCAAGTGTTACTCGAATGGCTGCCAAATCCGAACTAACCCATCAATTAGTCTGAAATTTGTTGTGCCGTCCTTTGATAGATGGCAGCACACGATGATAACATTAACTTCCCTCAGGAACGCCCTCTGTCGTCAAACACGGGTACTTATTGAAGCGCCCTCGTATAGCAATAATATTCATTCATCAAAGGACAATGTGTAACAAATAGTATCGGGATTTCATTCATAACTCCTGTAGGGCTAGTCTTCCACGCCCTGATACAATAGGGAACCTCGTGATATTTCATCTTTAAAAATACTTCATTTAGCTTAAAATGAGATAAGGTATCGTGAAATTATTTAACGTTTCTGTTCAGCGGTGTTGTCGGAATACGGCAGCAACGGGCGAGGCTTGGAATCGACCGTCGCCGTATCCGAATCGTCGTCTTCGCAAGCATCGCCTTCGTTGAGCGGCGGCGGTGGCGTCGTCGGCGGCGGTACCGCGACGCTTCCGGACCACGAAGAAATGACGATGCGTAATGCGATTTTCAACACGCGCACCGGACATCAAACCATTTCCAAGATCAACGTACACGAAAATAGCGCCGAACGAATAGCTGCCGACCATCAGGACTACCAAGTGATTATCACCAGAAGAGGTTTCTTCGATAAAAATATCAACGGATCTCTTCAGGTAAGCCGAACAAGCTGTATCTTTTATTTTACTTCCTGTGCGAGGAATTATTGTATTCGCGAAATATTACCACATGTCACCGTGTCACTCCTTACCGTCCGTCTGGCTGTCTGACATGCTTGAAAATGTGAGGAATAGATTTGAACAAAAATTTTATCGTTGCATTGAGGTAAATGGAGACCACTTTCAGCACTTACCACACGAGCGAGAGCCGTCGCGGTAGGAGGAAGGAACGCGATCGAAAATGGCCGGTAAAGTCGAAAAAAACGGTAGATTTTCGTGCTTTCGATCTCCTCCGAAGATAAAGGAGCTACGAACCTGACGATTTTTGCGTAAGAAAGCCGGGACGACGGACTCAAAGATAGCGTCTTTTTTTTTTCTTTATCCCTTTTCGTTCGAAAGTTTCGATTTTTTAAAATTGCTCGACCATATGCTACTTTTCGATGCGTGAAAAAGTCACTTTGTTTTCCGGCTCTGTCCTCGCCTATTACTACTATACGTAAGCGAGTAAAAATTATATAGCTATCGAAAAATAATGATAATGAGCTGAGGAAACGATTCTGACCGTTAGAATTACCGTCAAATTTCGAAAAAGTAAACTTTGAGCGCCTCAAAAGTACCGATGACAGTCGTTTTCTTCGATACAGACCTTCGTTACGGATCGACATAGCTACGATTTTTTTCGCAAAACGAAAGACCAAAGTCTCCTGATTAATCCGATATACGACACGTTATCCGATCGCATTTTTTAAACTCGGCAGATTAGAAAATTGAAAGATATGCAGATTGACCTACCTTTTTATAGCGAATTAATTTTTTATGTAACTTTTAATTACTATTTCGCTCATTTGACTCATCCGTTTTCGTGAAAACCTACAACGAATGCCTAGGAAGTACAAAGCGAATGTACTCGACGGCATTTTTTATCGAATAAATAGCAGAAATATGTAGGTGATCGATGTCGTGACGAATTTGCAGGTGAGGAACGGAAACGGCGGAAGCGAATACAGCCTGGTAAGCGAAGTGTATGTGAACAACGGATACAATTATGGCAGCGCACCGTCTTCGCCAGGATCATCATCGCCATCATCGACCATGGACAGGCGTGCGCTTCATGGAAATCTTAAACTCAAGTTAGTATCATCGACTAACAATCGAGTCAGGTCACGTGGACAATTTCGTTCTTCTCGAATACGTACGACAAAAGTAAGGTTTTAAAATTCCTTCAGAGTGGGCGTATATGTAGGTGTGAAAAACACGATTTTTTTTCGTGGCATGTTACAAAAAAGCCGCATTTGAAATTGTTTTTTCGAAATGGAAGGTATCACAGTGGGATAGCGACATAGCTTTTTATACACGGTGGCGCATCGAAAACCATCCAGACGCATATACTGGCAGCTCAGTTTTTTTTTAAAAAACGCTCAGACTCGTCGATTTTGTTTTCGCGGGGGACACAAGTTTGGCAAAAAATCACGTTAACACGTGCAGCCCCCTGGGCGGGGGTGACACGTACCCTAAATTCTTAAATGGAAAGGGGGGTCGAGTGATACCTTATTTTAAAGGTCTTTCAATTCCCTTTATAATGATATAAAATTAATGTACTTCAGTTCAGTAGTTTTGAAGATTTATTGATTTAAAGCTTAAAGTAGACTTTAATAGGTACATCAGATTAGTTTGAACTACTTTCAGAAGAAGTTTGACTAAAAGTAAATGCTTTTCTTCACTGCGTCCATGGTTTGTTTATCATTTTGTTGTTGAAAATAGCTATTGGAGCGTTTTTTTGTGGCAAAAAAGTGATTTCTTGAAGAAAGATAAGGAAATATCTCGTACTTATTTTAAATAGGAATTTAGTACATAGTTTGCGATTGATTTGACCAAACTTTGTTGCTAATCAGTGCGCTAATAGAACAGCAGAAATATTTAATGAGCGACATGAGAACAGTAACGTGCATCGAAAATATGTTGTAGAACTTGTAGCTAAATTTCGGGAAGCTGGGTCATTCGCCAATAAAAAACGCAACTTTAAAAATCCCATAAGGAACGAAGCAATAGAATTGGGGGTTTTAGGGCATGTTTATGTAGATCCTACGTTAAATACCCGCACATTGGAGACTGTGTGTGGTGTTAGTCGACGTACTGTCCGGTACAATGCGAATAGATTGATGTTAAAACAGGATGGTGCCCCACCACATTACGCGTTACGTGTTCGACAATATTTAGATCAGACGTTTCCAGATCGATGGATTGGTAGAAGAAGTGCCATTGAATTACCCCCAAGATCGCCAGATTTATCACCTTTGGATTTCTTTATGTGGGATCATTTAAAAAGCAAAATATGTGCTACTCGGCCAACATCATTGTGAATGAGTGCCTTCAAATTACTCCTCAAATATTGCAAAATGTGCGGCAACGTTTTGAGCAAAATCTTTATTATTGCATGGAGAGTCATGGTGGCCATTTTCAACATTTACTTGTCTAACGGGTCAGTTCATTCTCCATTTCTAAATTACTTTGCTACCAAACGTATTAGTTTTATTTAAGCTTTAAATCAACAAATCTTCAAACCTACTGAACTGAAGTACATTAATTTTATATCATTACAAAGGGAATTGAAAGACATGCTAACGTGATTTTTTGCCAGACTTGTGTCCCCCTCGAAAACAAAATCGATGGGTCTGAGCGTTTTTCCAAAAAAAAAACTGAGCTGCCAGTAAATGCGCGTTTCGTTTTCGATGCGCCACTCTATATACGAAATTTTCAGTCCTTTTTGAAGAACAAACAAATTTGAAATAAGACAAAACCTGCTAAACCTTTAATTCAAAAGGATATTTTATTTTATATTTCTTATGTAAAACGTTATGTTTCTTATCTCATAATAATACTTTTGGATTCGAAAAATGTCTTTGAAAAAATTCCAATTTTAAATACAGCTTATCTTTCAAAACCGGTAACTTGGCAAATAAACGTGTCACGAAAAATAATAATCGTGATTTTCTCTTTCACACCTAGCAGTTGAAATACGCTCAATATGAACGAATCAAAAAAACTTAATTTTTTGCTGTCCGCTTCACCTGGAATGCTATATTTATCGTACATATCACAAAAAATGGAGGAGTTTTTTTGTAGTCTCTTACTTCACGAAGTGACGTAGCTGTATATCAGTTCGCTGCTAAGAATTAAAATTTTCAGAAAATTGTCTCAGTTATAAAATTCCGAAAACAATTTTCACGTACCGGCTTAAATAGATTTACGGCTCTACGTTAAAACTGGTTCTACATCACTTTAGTCTAACAAAAAGAAACAGCAACGTTCACTTTCAATCTCATTTATTGCTGATATTCGTTTTCTAGCTCTCCTGTAAAATTTGTAAAATGTTAGCTACGCCGGTACGTGCGGAGACCAACGATATGTTTAGTATGAAATTGGAATATTTTCTATTTGGCTGATGTAGTTCTCAAACATATTTTATTTGCTAAAAAAGATCCTATGCTTACGTGTTTGCTACATCAAGGTTCATCAGAAACAAATTATTCTCAATGTGTGCAATTTAACGACGAAAGCAAACTTCCAGTGTAGTCAAAACAAGAAAGCTGCATCTGAGAAAACAAAACAACTTTTATAAAATTGCGTTATTATTGTTCACTAATTGTTCAGACAATTATTGGGTAACAGCTGTGGAAGCCATAATAAAACAAATTAGAGAACAAAATTACTGCTCAAGAGTGCGCCCTTTTTACGTTGTAACAACGTTCATAGCGGCACTATTTTGTAAAAATAATTCTTAGGACATTTATAAATGATAAATTATTACAGTATATTCAGATAAGAGATAGACCGGATGTATACAAAAGGTTCGGGTGATTTTCACGCTAACGCCGCCGTCTCGACGTAAAACAGGAGCCCTCATTGGTCAATTCGCAATTAAATGTCTATGCCGAGCGGCAGAGCAGACGTATCAAGGCAGAGTCACATTCAGGTTCAGACGTGTTACGTATGTCGTGTGCATCATTGCAATTTGATATTTCTTTGGACGTTTTCGTTTGTTATCTTATTAAGTTGTTGAGTTTGTCGTTGTTATTGTTATACCTTGTTATTGATTGTTATTGTTATCAACTGCTTGCGCAAAATGCCCAGTAGTACAGATACTGCCGATGAAGTTGTAAACTCCTGTAGTCCACCTAGGAAACGCTCTAAAAAAAGACACCTGAGTGCAGAAATGAAAGAGGTCATTTTGAATATATATAAGATCGAGCGCGAGGAGAACGAGGCATCAACCATCAAAGAAATTGTTGTGAAGGTTTCTCACAAAGTTGGGGTGTGTCGCGCATCAGTGTTTAATGTGTTAAGACAATACAAAAAAAATCACACCTTTTCTGAGCCAATGACCAGTAAACATCGAAAAAGTATTGTTAAATCATTGGATGAAGCTGATAAGCATGCGATTAGGAGGAAAGTGCATGAATTCTTCTTTAGGAATGAAATACCTACTATAGATAAAGTACTGCAGGAGGTAAATGGAGATACAACGTTGCCAAATTTCAAACGATCAACTTTCCATGCGTTACTGAAGCATTTAAATTTAAAATGGAAAAAACGGGGTCGTAATAGTTTACTACTGGATAGAGAAGAAATTGTGCTATGGAGGAGGGATTATTTAACAAAAATTGGGAAATATAGAAATCAAAACAGGAAGATTTATTACCTTGATGAAACGTGGGTAAACGCAGGACACACTACAAGTAAAGTATGGGTTGATGTTTTTATGTGTTTTCGATATTTCAATAATTTTTTAATATAATCTTAAAATATGTCGTATATTATAAACTTAAAAAAAGTTACTAAGTTTTATATTGTGTACCGTTCCTAATATTTCTAATCATTTTAATTCATACTTTAAGCTAATTTGTTAATATTAATATTTGCGCGTATTTCAGGTTCCTGATCATTCATTTTTTAAAGGTTTATAACTTTAAATTAAATTGTGAAGCGCTGAGTAATCATACGACGTTCAATATTCTTTCTTTCAATATGACTAAATAATCCCAATTATAGCAATCTGATACTCATGTCTCAATGTTTTTTCGCTGAATGTGATGAAAACATTTGAAAAAGGTTCGCTTATTGAAATAAATCTACACCAGTTAGTACTTCGATTTCCAGGTAAAGGGAAAAGGCTCATTATCTGCCATATTGGCAGTGAGGATGGATTTGTTGTTGACGGTCTGTGGTGCTTTGAGTCTAAGAAAACTGGAGATTACCACGAGGAAATGAATGGGCAGAGCTCAGATGGGCAGAGGTTAAAAATTATATAGCTAAGCACAATACAACTTTTAAATTTTGTGACCTCAAAGGACTTTTCAAAGAAGCACTAGAATTAATAACAGCGCAAAAATGGGAAAACTGTATTAAGCACGTGAAAGACAAAGTTGAAAAGAGAATGTGGGAACTGGACAATATTTTAGAGGAACAAGTCGAGCCATTCATTATTGACGTTGGTGCTTCAGGCAGTAGCGATGATGAAAGCTCATCAAGCTCATCTTTCCAATAAAAGATGTTCATCAAATTCGGTAATTTATAAGTAATTATAAAGCTACTGTATTTTTTAATTAATTATTGACATTTTTTAACCCATTTTGGCAAAATCTATTCAAGAATCTACTTTCTGACAATGTTCAACCATGCACATTTTTTTACGTTTTGAACGTTTTAATTTGGTTACATATTTACCTAGAAATCAAAAAATATACTAATCAATATTCTAAAAGCAATTTTAAGAGATATACGATTATTTTTAATTTAGGCTAATTTAAACGCCATTTTGAGATTATATTCGACTGTATTTCACCAAACATCAGGCGGCATCCGAAGCTGGAAATCGAAGCGAAAATTTTGAAACCCTTATGTATATTTACATCATTATATATTTCTTAGCCCACCCCCACATGATCCTATATCCATCACCAATCGTATACACATCGAATTGTGCTAATTTACTACAAAGTTACGCAAATCGGCATCTACTATCTAAAATATGTACTGCGTGACTCTTAATACGTCCCTGCCGAATGTTACAGCGTTCGATGATCACGTGGTCTTGTTTATGTCCGGTCTATCTCTTATCTGAATATACTGTAGTTGGGTATGCGCATGGTCGTTTGACTTTTTTCAATTGCAACAATTTGAAACGTTTCAGATACGAGAAGGACGAAAGTAAGCCGGGAGGCAAATTGCTGATCGAGGTGGAGGATTGCGCGGATCATTACATTCCCGTGTGCGAATCGGACGGTTTCGAGCCGGACACGTTGGACCGGAAACCGACTGCGACGCCTGCCAAATATAACGAGTTCTCGCTGCCGCCGTTGCCGTTGCCTCCAGATGGCGCTGACGTCGATTCCGCAAATGCACCGCCGGCGCCGTCCAAGGACAGGCCTGCGCAGATACTGCTCAGGACTACGGGCAGTTTCAGGAGCGATGCATTAGCCGAGAATAACGAAAAACTACATTCCGGTAAATCACATTATAATAACTCAAAATTCTTTATCGTGACATTTATTTTTAATTCGATTGAGATATGCTCAGAAACGTTCATTGCGGCTGGTCGAGGTCCAGATGCGTTCGCGCCAGATCAAGTCCTCTTTATTAAAATCGTATAACAATAAACTATAATTCCACGTTAAACTATATTCAAAATGATTATTAGAGCTGATAAATATGCTCTTATTGTAGCCTATTAATGCAATATCTTGTTAACCAGTCGACCTAAATACAGGGTGTCCGCAAAGTTGGGGTTTTCCTTTACACGACGTGTAGATCTTGAAAACATAAGCAATTTTTCTTAGTACCATATACACCAATGTCTTAAGGGAACCGAGATAAAGGGCTCTGCAACATCAAAAATATCTGAATACCGTCCTGTAGCCGCGGCATCCCCGAGTGGTACTAGGACACTAGCTCAACCCGACGACAGAACTGGGTCGGGGTCAGTGTGTCAGGTCAGTATGCAACCTTCAACCGACGGTTACGGTCACGCGTGTAGAGATAATCGCGTAGACGTGCATCCCTCAACAAGCACTAGAGACGTGGCTAGAGAAGTGCAAGTATCAAAAACTAAAGTGTGGCAAACGCTGCGTGAAGAGGGGCTGTATCCGTTCACGTCCAACGTGTACAAGCCCTTCAACCTGACGATTTTCCAGCAAGAGTGCGGTTTTGTGAGTGGTTGTTGCATCAACATGACAATAATCCGGGCTTTTTGAAGTGCATATTGGTGACAGACGAATCTACGTTCACGCGTAATGGGGTGAATAACTTTCGCAACACTCATGTTTGGTCAGTAAAAAATCCGCACGCTGTCCGTCGGGCACATTTTCAACAAACATTTTCGGTGAATGTTTGGGCTGCCATGGTGAACGGTATGCTCATTGGACCATTTATTCTTCCAAATCGATTGGACGGGATGCAATACCTAGACTTTTTACGCGACATTTTGCCTTCCTTGTTTGCCTGCGTCTGCTCGGTAGCGCATCAGATGATTTCATTTTCTGATGGAGCGGTATGATTTCGGGCAGAGACGTACTTAGCCCTTCTCGTCAAGTGGAGAGTGAGTACTTTTTCCTTTATTTTTTTTACATGGTCGCCCTCGTTTCACTACACATTACCTTTATTATTTCAAGGGTAGTTGTTTCTGAAAAGGAAAACCCCAACTTTGCGGACACCCTATATAAGCGCCTAACGTCATACTCGAAGCGACATGTATGTACATAACAATACGTACCCTCTTAATTAATGCGCATACAATCTCAAAACTTGTCATGTATTTCAAACACACTTTAGCCTACGAGCCCCTTCCCACTTCAGTTGGCCAACTTCAAGATTTGTACCAAAATATGCCTTTATAAACTAAACATGACGAAACTATTTACTTCTAAAACAATTTATTTTCTCAAAAACATTTTAGATACACTTAGTCGTAAACAATACATATTTGAAGTCACTTAGACCTATAACTGATAGAACATCTGAACAAATAAACAATGTGCGAATAAATGCGCAAAGTTAACAAAGCAACAATTGAAAGATTACCATTGGGTAACATCACCTTTATTTTTTATTACGGCTGAAATTCTTTGAGGCATAGTGTTAACCAACTTTTGGCAAAAATTTGGTGTAAAAAAATTTCATATTTCTTGAAGCTTTTGTCTCAGTTCGGTGACTGTACGAGCAGGACGTTGTCGTAGAACCTTTTTCATCTCGTGCCACAAAGTTTCAATAGGTGACAGATCTGGACTGCTAGAAACCCATTTCAAAAGCGGTACATTATTTTATTCCATCCATTTTATAGCCTTTTTTGAGGTATGGCACGCTGCACCATCTTGCTGAAACACAAAATCTTGGCCGGATGTCAAACATTCTTCCATCACTGGTAAAAGCGATTCTTCTAAAATTGACAAATATTTGTTTGTATCCACATTTCCATCAATAAAGTGAAGTTTTCCTACTCCTTTTGATGACATACTGCCCCAGACCATAATGGATGCTGGACATTTCACTTTTCTCTTCAGACAGTCAACATGGAATGCTTCATTTTTTTGCGAATAACTACTGCGACTGGTACCAACACAAACATCGAATCGGGCCTCATCACTCCATTGTATTGCACACCATTGTTGAGGTGTCTATTGTCTATGTTCTTTAGCCCATTTAAGCCGATTTTTCTTTTGCATTGGAGTTAATAGTGGCTTTTCTTTGGCCTGTAAACAAGTAGTGCAACTTTAGGGTTTTTACTTCACTTTTTTTTATAAGAAAACTTACCTTGCAAGTGCTAAATCCCAGTTTGTGGGCCTCTCAATGAGTTGTGGACCTCGAAATTCTCCTTCCAACAGCGTCACTCCACAGAGCACTTAATTGTAAATATATAATTGGCACGCCTGTTTTTCACGATTATTCTTCTTAATGCTCTTCGGTCGGCATTTGTGATATTACTTTTTTTTCACATATCGTGGCTTAATATTTACTGAACCAGTTACGTTATATCTTCATTGTTAATATTTTAAACCTATAACACCCTGCTACATTTTGATTATTTTTGTTTGATAAGAAAAAAACTAAGATTTCAATAGTTGGGCAAACTGAAGTGGAAGGGGCTTGTATATTTTGGAATAAAGAAAACGAAGACAAATATGCGAAGTAGCCCAAGTTTTTGTTTGAAATGCTTGCTTCCGGTTTAGCACCTCCGTTTTTCTTTCAATTTCAAATTTGGTTTCCTATCGAAAAGTACAAAAAATTCTTCGAAATCAAATGACCGTTCCACGAAAAAAAGGACGTGTCTTTTGTTTTTCTCTGGACAAACTCGGAACTGCAAAACTTTCCAGTGTCATTTTCTTAGTTATGTAGAAATGCTCCCGCATTTAGCCATCTTCGTATTTCGTTTCATTTCAGAGATTTCAATGGTGAGGCTTCAATTTGAAATACCAGGTATATTGGTTGTAGTTAGTTTGAGGCATTATATGTTTACAGGGAATTTTACAAGGGTGTTCGGTAGTTTGAGGGATATCTACGAAGCGAAAATGAAAGGCACCTGTAAACAGCAGCAGCAGCAGCAAGAAGACGAGACATCGACGAAACAAACGACGGGCATGTTGTACAATTTCATAGATGGTTTCGTCGAGAGCGTTGGTGATGAAAAAGGTAGAATTCTAACCTTAGAGGAGAGACATTCGAAAAGGCAAAGGGCGAAACATACTCTCGTCCAACCGGATGTTATCCCGCCGCCTCTCGCGCCCTCGTCCCCGGATGTCTCTTACGCGAATTCCACGACATGTAATGGAACGCAAGGTTTGTACACATTGATTTAATTTAGAACATACACACACTGTTTTTCAAATGTTTTTTGTACAGGTCATGTTAGCAAACTAAAATTCGGAATGGTAAAATTAATGGTGGATTCTATATTTTCAGCGTAACAGTGTCATTTCACAACGTCAAAATGATGGTTGAGCGCATTTTGGAACTCAAAGAATCGCTCAAACTTCATCCTTTGACGTTATGGTAGTCATTATTTAAATGGGTGACAGAGTGGGTTGAAAGAAGTAAAAAGTTTCATATAACATGGGTGTCAAATCGGCATTTAAAAAAAAAATAAAATCTGACGACGCCGCAATGATGGAGTTGCTATTTTTGGCTCTTAGGTATTATTTCATTATTTGATATAATAATGTTTTTGGTTGATTGTGAGCAATCGTGGCACCCATCTCATCTCAGCTTTCTCATGTCCAAATTTTCAGATGATATGCGATGAACCGCACTTTCTGAAATGCCTACTATGTCTGCTAGCTCGCGCACTTTCAGTCGACGATCATTCAGTACCGCTTTGTGAATTTTCTTCACCATTTCTGGAGTCGTCACCTCATTTGGTCGACCACTGCGATGCTCGTCTTGGCAGCTCATACGACCTCGTTTACACTCTACTACCCAATATTGTACTGTTGTAAACGAAGGAGCAGACTCACCCAGAGTAGAATCTAGTTCAGCTTTTATATTGGTTGGGCTGAAGCCTTTGAAATAAAAGTATTGTACCACATAACGATGACCAATTTTCTCCATTTCCACAAAACGTTCAGTATTGATGGCTGCCAAACAAATACTAAACAACGTGGCGTCTTCAAACTTGACACATATGCTTTATAGTTTGCATACTTTCTGATACAATGATATTTTTCAAACAACTATTGCCATCTCTAGGTCAGGCCGTGTACTTCTGGAACCACCCTCGTATGGCCTCGAAGTTGTCCATTTATTATTTCAGCCGCATTAATTTTTTTTCCCGAAGTTGTGCTTTACTTGGACCAGCCCCATAATCCAGCCCTTTAAGTTCTCCCTAATACCAGAAATCCATGGGATTGACGTCAGGAGATCTTGCTGGCCATTTTCGAGGATCAGGAGCATTTCGACCGATCCAGCGATTTGGATAATGTTCATTCAAATACTGAATGACGCCTCTAAAAATGTGTGGTGGTGCCCCGTCATGAAGAAACTACAAATTCTGTCTCCGTTGTAATGGCATGTTGTCTAAGATCTGTTCCAAGAGCTCTGGTGGGTTATTGGTTAGAAAGCTAAGGTATCCTTCTCCTGACAACTTTGGGGGCAACTCGAAAGGGCCAATTACATGATCGTCAAGAATACCCGCCCGAATATTTATTTTAAAACGTTGTTGGAAATGACCTTCACGAATGATATGAGGATTTTCTTGGGCCCACTTGTGAGTATTATGGAAATTTAATATCTAGTCTCGCGTAAAAATACATTCGTCCGTCGCTAGGATGTGTTAGAAGATTTGTATTCTGACGAGCTTCACCGTAAACTAACAACATGTTGGCGAACGCTTGATTCGAGAACATTGTAAATAAACACGACGACGTACGCGAACAATAACTAACCACTGTTACCGTTTGCGATCGATTGGCGGTTCGATAAGAGTGATGATGACCGACGCGCTGTTGTCATGTATGTTTTAAATATCCAATTTAATGAAACTTACCGACTACAAATTTTGGCTTAACTTAAAAAGAGTTAATGCCGTTTATTTACCCATTTTAAAAACGTTTTAGATTAGATTATAAAAATTAGTAAGATTGTGGTCGATATAAAACACTTAAAGTTGTAAACTATAAAGCCATTTAGACAAAAATTCATTGACTCTTAGACCATAGGTTATATGAACTTTTTGATTTGTTATGTTATGTTATGTTACCCATTTCAATAATGACTACCGTAACGTTTACACCCTGTATAGCATAATATATGATGTTCGTAGGAACATAATCATTTATGAACTGATGAGAGTGTTGCGTCAACTTATTTGACGGCATTTTTTTTGTATAAACTTGACGATGGTCTAATGTTTCGTTGAATAAATAAAAAAGTGAAAAAGGAAACGGTTCCAGATTCGTCGATGGTATCGAGATCGATTCCAAAAAACGGCAATTGCAGGAGTGCTGCGAACAACAGATGCATCGGCAGCAACGATGGTAACAGCGAGAAGAACGCAGGCAGCGGCACTCCTGCAACTGGTGCATCATCGTCACTAGCAGATTTCGAGCTGTGTCTGTTGCAACGACGCCACCGCCCGAAAACTGACGGAAATGTTGCTGTTCGTCAGGATACCACCCACGATTCTATCGACAATGCAATGGACGTCATACTTACCAAGCAAAACGATGACGAATACGTACTGCACCTCTGCCAGGTACGGTACTTCTGCTGCTATTGTTGGTATCTCTTTTCGCACATACTTATAATCAGCGTTAATAATGTTAATATTGTACAGGGCGTCCCAACGAAAATAGACAGTACATTTGTGAGTAAACTGGAAAAGATATCAAAATCCGTTTTCGTGCCGACCTTGATATGTTACCGGTGTAAATATTTTAAAATTCTTTTCATACGAGGCTGTTACATATAATATCCATTTTGTTAAATAGAACACCGGATATTTAAATAAATATATAAATAAATGCCCCAATAATATATATAAATTTGAGTAAGTGTAATGTTTCTTGTAGGTTTCGATGGCTCTGTCAAAGAACCGAAACGGGCGCAGCGATGCGGCTAGAAGGGCGATAAGGATAGGAGCATCGACGGAATTTGCGAAAATGACGGCAGCGGGAAGTAAGGAGGATTCCGGGTATCTCAGCGGAGGTGAAGAAATCGCAACGGCAGCCGGTGAGGAAAAGGGTGATGCGGCACAGACGTGCGGCGGCGTATCGTGGCGGCGGACCAGCTGTTCGATTAGCGAAGAAGACACCGAAGGGAGTTTCGAAGATGACGGCTGCACCAGCGAATCGGGTGCCGAGAGTATCGAAACTCACTCGGTGTTCTTTGATAAGATCGCCACCGGCGAATCTGCAGCTGCACTTGCCAAGCCGGCGAACGACAAAGACGGCGACGACGAGACACGCAACGTCTGTTGCGCCGCACGTGTTTGTAAATAAACAGTCGCATTTTACATACGTTTGGTTTATCTGAAGTCACTTGAATAGCATAAAAACCTTTGGTCGGTGCGTCCTTTGTAATTTCATGACGTATCATAGGCGTGCGGTCATTTATTTAGAACGATAATAATAATGTTTTTATATCACAATGAATGGATTTTACTATCTTCTTATTTTTTTGATTTGGGATAAAAAATACTTATATTGGGAGTTTAATTTATGTTGACTGAAAGTTAAGAAATGGAAGAATTACAGAATTCCAACGTTTGACATAGGCAAATATTTACATAGCATGTAGGTATATAAAAAGGTATATAAAGACTTACATTATAGGTATTTATATATCATCCTCGCCTTCGGAGCTGTCGCTAGAGTCATCTTGTAGAGGAATTACAACGGGATTTACAGGAGGCAAAACACAATATTCATTTTCTTTTTCAATAATATGCCTAGAACACTGCTTCCATAGGTCTGTGGCAGTAATATGAGATACTGCATCTCTTATTGTGGCCAATAGCGATTCACTTAATTGAGGGGTCTGATTATGTTTTCTTACTTTTTTTTTAAAGCAGCCCAGACCAACTCAATCGGGTTAAAAATGCAGTAATAGGGAGGTAGACGTAATACTTCATGGCCATTTTGCTGAAGCAGATTGTCAACAACATACTCTTTTTCAAATTTTTGTCTTTTAATAAGATCCAATAATATGGCTTTGGTTGATTTTTGTGGTATTTCCATTCCCTTATCCTTCATAAAATCAATAATGTCTTGTTTTTTTGTGTCTGTATTCGGAATTTTGTTTTTCTGTCGCTAATGGTATGCCGCATTGTCCATAATAATCACTGAATTTGGGGAAATGTTTGGTACTAACTGCTGCTCTATCCACTTTTCAAATAAGTCGGAGGTCATGTCCTCATGATAGTCGGCACATGATTCTTTGATATTTTTGGCAGATAACAGCAAGGCATTAGGTATAAATCCATTTTCACTGCTAGCATGGAGAATAATGATTCGTTTTCCACGGTTGCATGGTGCATTTAAAATGCACTTGTTGCTGTCGTCAACCCAGCCGTACTGCACAACATCATGGGTATCATACCACGTTTCATCCAGGTAAATCAGATTTCTTTTCTGCTCTCTATAGATTTTAACTTTGTGCAAAAATTCTTGGCGCAATTCAACGATTCGAGATGACTCCATAATCACCATTCTTTTATCTAATTTTTTGTATTGAAAACCACACAGTTTTACAATACAGTACAGTGAGTCTAAGCATTTGTAATTATAAAAATCTTCAGGATAATCTTTTAATTTATCCCGTATCATTTCCAACGTGGGCACCAAATTTTCTTTATAAAATCCGTATATTATACGACGCATATCTTCCTGAAAACCCACGTCTATTCTTTTTAATTTTTGCCCTATGCGCTTTCTGTGGAAGGAATGGTTAACTACATCTCCCCTTTTTATAACCCGATAAATGGTAGACCGACTGATTTTTGTCAGGATACAAATTCTGTTTAAAATTTGATATTGCGAGGAATCTGGATTTTCGTTTTTCAGACAATCATACATATTTAGGATTACTCTTTGGGTCTGTTCCTCTAAATCTTTATGAAAGAATTCTGCCTGCACAGGTTCATCAACTATCTCCTCGTGGCTTGGAGCATTTTCCCAAGGTCTCCAAAGAGCCATATTTAGGACACACAAGAACAATCAACACAACAATTAAATCAACAAGTAAACTGAGTATTCAAAAGTCAAAAACACACAAACTAATAAAATCTATGAAAAAACACAGACAGACTAAAGAAAACACGTTTATTCACCGCTACACGGCACTGGCTAAACTGTTTCAATTTTCAGTAGCCACCTGCACTCGTTCGGAGCTCTGAAATACACGCTTTCTCATTGGCTATGTCCACGCATAGGCGTGCTTCACTCCACGTGGACCGGTGAAACTGCCTTTGATCTTATACGGGGGATATTTGCTGCGAAATTTGGCGATTTTTACAGCAACAGAGCGTGTTAAATATAGATATATAAAACGCACCCGGTATTTCACAGTGTTTCAAGTGACTTCAGATAAAGTATACATCGTGTAACATGTTGCCAACGGTATTATTCGAAAGCAAATTTATTTTTTTTATTTCTCGTCCATTTACCAAATATTTATTGTGCAATATTTTTTAACACATTCAACGGAATATTTATGGTACCTATTTATTAATATAGTTTCTAAATGATTTTAATGTTTCACCACCCTTGGCTACAAAATTTATCTAATAATAATCATCACCGTGATACGTATATCACAAGGTTTTAAATGCTATTACTAATAACGTATAATTCTTTAGTTATAAAGAAAAATGAGGAATGTTGGCAGATGTTTAAAATAAAACCTTATTCTTATCATCTCGATTGAAACATTATACAGGGTGTAAACGTTATGGTAGTCATTAGTGAAATGGGTAATAGGGGCGGGTAAAAAACAAGTCAGATAGTTCGTGTGACCCATGGTCCAAAAGTCAATAGATTTTTGTCTAAATGGCTTTATAGTTTACAACTTTAAGTGCTTTATATCGACCACAACCTTACTAATTTTTATAATCTAATCTAAAACGTTTTTAAATTGGGTAATTAACAAATAAATGGCATTAAGTTTTTCTAAGTTGAGGCAAAATTTGTAGTCAGTAAAAAAGTAAGTTTCATTAAATTGAATATTTAAAACACACTTGACAACAGCGCGTCGGTCATCATCACTGTTATCGAACCGGCAATCGATCGCAAACGGTAACAGTGGTTAGTTATCCTTTTGCATAGTTTTGCGGAGTTGTCAGATTTATTTTACTTTAAAGTCGCGTTTCTCTAAAAAAATGCCGTTTTGACCCGCATGTTACACAGTGACGATGAACGCTAATCTAGGGTTTATTATCTACTCTTATAAATTTTATAGATGTTTGTGATGCTACTAATATAGAGAATTTTTACCCAAGGGTGGCTGAGTATAGTTTAGTTTTACAACAAATAGTGATATTATGTGCAATTTTGTGCGTCGTGCAATACTACTTTTTATTTTTTATAGATTATAAGTTATTTTTATGTTTGTTATTCATACATAAAGGGTGAGTTTTTAGTGTGGGCTCGGTCGATAACTACAAAAGTAATTACAAATATCATAGTCAACAGTATGCTCCTTACTTGAAAAATATTTCCATCTCTATAGGCTGATTCATAACTACGCGGTGATCAATACATACATTTTTTTCAAATGGAAACACCATTTTATTACAGGTTTGGATAGGCCGTTCCAAGTTGAGCAATTTGATATGTCATACTATATAAATACTTTTATTTTCAAACTATTCAGGTATTGTGCAAACTATCGGAAAACACACTCAACTTTGACAACTTACAACTCCGCAACTAGTATATCTACTGATTTTTTCGTCAGAAAAATTTTATGACGTACTACTTTTTCAGGTTTTTCGACGGCTTATTCAAGGTGGTCATGAATGTAAAATGAAAGATTTCTCGAAATTTTTAAATGGAACCTCCTGTATAATTTTTATATTCTCCGATTCCGCTGTCTCTTACCTTTTTCTGCAATCTATTTTTGAGTTTCAGCTAATAGTTTTTTGAATGACATCGATGTATTTTTATTAATAAATTAAATCAACGTAGCTTCGTGCAATAATGTCAGAAGGTGTCTCTGCGTTACCTCCCACGAAACCTTGTAACAGAGAAAGAGCTCGTGAAAAGGGGAATAAAAAAATGTGAAAATATACGGGTACAGTATTTGAAAAATTTGAAAAGTCCAAGAAACTGAACAAGAAAATTGATAGTTACAAAATAACGGATCATACATGTTTTTTAAGAAAATTTCAGTACTATAGCTACGAGGGATGTCTTTTATGTTTTGCATATGGAAATAAAACAACACGGTAGGTAGTTTTAAATGACTTTATTGTTTTTCGAAGTATTCTCCACGAAGATTAATACACATCTGCATGCGCTCGAACCAATTGTCGAAGCACTTATTCCACTCGTTTGCTGGCAGATCCAAAACGCCATTTTTGAATGCGTCAACTGCTTCTTCTGGTGACTGGAACCTTTGACCACGCAGCCTGTTTTTAATTTTCGGAAAAGTAAAGAAATCGTTAGGACTTAGATCGGGACTATATGGAGGATGGTCCAATAATTCCACGTTTTCTTCCGTTAAATAGTGCCTTGTTTTTTGGGCTGTGTGCGACCTTGCATTGTCTTGGTGGAGGATGATTCTTCTTTCGGGGTTGATTTTTCGAAGCTCGGTGATGACTTTTGGCAAACAAATGGTGGTATACCAATCCGCAGTAACAGTTCTTTGCTCATTAAGAGGAATTGTTGCAATATGACCCGCTTTTGACACAAATGTCGCGACCATCTTTTTCGAAACACTTCGAGAACGGATGACTTTTGTTGGCTTTTCTTCACCTTGGATCACCCAAACAGCCGACTGTCGTTTATTTTCTGGTTCATAACAGTAAATCCACGATTCATCACCACTAACAATGCTGTACACGTTTTTTGAGTTTCCGGAGTTGAAACGGTCAAGCGTTTTTTGACACCAATCAACCCCGGCTGCTTTCTGCTCTTCAGTCAACAGGTGGGGTATCCAACGAGAAACTAATTTTCTTACTCCTAATTCTTCGTGCAACATTTTTTGAATTGAGGTCTTTGGGATCTTCAAGGACCCCTCAATCTCGCGATATGTCACATGTCTATCTTCAATGATGAGTTTGCGCACAGCATCGCCGTTTCTTGTGCACCCACCCTGGGATCGTCGCTAAGACTCATCCGTCTACGGGAAATTGTCGACAGATGTGGCGCTTCGTTGCCGAAAACAGACAGTAACTCAGCGAGGCATTCTTGCTGCGATAATTGTCTCTGAAAGTTGTAATAAATTATGGCGCGAAAATGTTCTCGGTTGAGTTCCATTTTTCTAATGACTTGGTGCTACTTAAAAATTCACTGTAGTGGGAACACTGCACGTATTGTTGTGAAACTTTGAATTTAAGTTTACTAAAGAGTGAAGTTAATATTCAGTGCTGACGTTCGATCCGCGCGGCCTACTATGTTTCTATATGCAAAACTTAAAAGACATCCCTCGTATAACATTCATGGAAATGCGAAATGTTGAAGTTGTGTTTTTTCAATAGATTGCC